TGGAAAATCCTGATGTTTTTTCAATTCAAGCCTCCTTTTTGGAATAGAGGCCAGGGGTGGGTGTACCACATTAATTTCAAAGCCTTGGCACTCTGTGGGCTGGCAGCTTGTGAAGGGAGCCATAGCACACCTTTAGAGCCCTCAACCTCCAAGAGTCATGGTGGACAGGTTTGGCAACAGGCTGCAGCTTATTCTCTAAGGTCTACTGAAGGGCTCAAGAGCATTCTCCACAGGGAACATAGATGGCAAGAGCCTCGGCAGGCTGCACGCTGGGGGAATCTGAGACAAGCCCGAGCTGAAACACAGTTACTACCACAGGAAATTAATTCAAATTAAACACTGCAAACAAAACAGTGGGGAAGACTGAGCTGTCAGCCTGCCTTTAGCGGCAGAAAATCCTGTGGCTGGGATTAAAGCCCAATGATCTGTTATACAGTTTCTACCTACAACGAGTTACTTCTGAGTTTATCGGAAGGACAATATTATCTCTCAGTAATGAATAGGAAGCAAAGAAGAAAGAGGAGGGCTATATTAAGTAGTAGCAAGAATTTTCCCTTTCAAATAAATTTACATTTGCATTTGTTACACATAACACTAGAGTTCTGAAGGTTGGCAATACTTCTCACCAGAAAACACATTACAAAATAAATGGACAAGCACCCCAAGAAACTAAACAATGCTTTGGAATGAGAAGAAAATGTATTATACTTTTAAATATCAGGTATCAATTTTCAGATGGAATACATATTGTGTACTACTGATAACTTGAGCTCATAGAAGTGCTTATCCACATGCTTAATTACACACGTCATAAACAGAAGTCTGACAAAAATGTATCTTCTAATGTTTCCATGGGACATTATTCTGTATATTAATCACATTGATTGCATTATGACTTTGTGTCTAACCCTAACATTGAGAAAATGCAAACAGAAATTGCTGAAAATCACCAAGATTTTCCCCCATGAGTATGCAGAACTTATGGACCTTGTCATTCACAGCCCTTGGCCTCCCAGTCTAAGGGACACCACTATCAGTCTGTAAACTCTGTGTTGCCATGTGGAGGGAGATACTGCTACTGTGGTTGCTTAACTCAGGGGTTACTAACAGCATATGATTATTTTCACTTGAGACTGCTGCCCCTGTTGCAGGACCAACACTGACAGCAACTGGAGGCTATTAACATATACTTCAGTGCCAAAAGAATAAAGATGAGACACAGTTCTCCTCACCCCAGTAAAATAAGGAAATTCCACAATCATCAAGCTAGCATAGTACTTATTTCAGATAAATAGAAGAGGAAGAAGTCTGTAAGCAATGCTCATGGTGGAGAGAAACACCTGGAAAAGCTTGTGAAGTCAAAGTGAAAAAAAGTGAAGCTACATTTGCAGGTTAGGTTATATCTCTGCAGGAAATTATTTGATTTCAAGAACAGGTATTTGTTACCACCCAGTTGGTTAAGAATCAGGACATTCAGCTTAGGACAGCAACTGTTGACCTCTCGGCCTACCACAAGGTTATTGTTCTTGTCCACTACACACTACATTGGTTCTCCAAAGAATAATACACAAATTGTAATATTCAGGCCTTTTCCTCACAGTATTTAAGTGTACAGGACATCCAAGAAACTACCTCACATTCCAGAACTGTAACCCTAGTCTTTAGGCACTAAAGAACAGATCATAACCAGGAAAAAACTAATTCATGTCAGAGGCTGAGCTTCCTCAGAGACTAATTCAAGCAGAACAAAGTAAAACCTGTTTATTTTTGAAGGTTAATTCCAATTAACCTAGGATCTGAATTGGTAGCGAAATCCCCAAAGTTCCTTCCACCTCACTTGGGGACGCTGCACTATTTACCCAGGCTCCCTGTAAAGGCAGTAGCAAGAAACGGTCTTCAGAGAGCAATGCAGGTTGCAGGAGAGCTTGGTCACCTTCACAGCAGCACATGCCACTTTGATAATCACCCTGTTGAGATGGCCTGTGCCTTAGTGGCTTTAAATGGGATCAAAGTGTGCACATAGGTGTGATCTCAGGTCATACGCTGAGACAAGTGGCATAAGGCATGACGCAGTTACTGCAGCTGCACAGAACCGTGAATCTTTCCCAATTTTCTACCTGCTAAACTAGCTGGAGCTGCAAGTTTTTATATGATCATGGCCATGTGATTCACTATGTGTGATTTAGCCAACCACATCAAGTCACCTCTGTAAGATGCTGAGATACTGTGGTTATGGAAATAGCACAGAAATCTTTATTGACTAAGGTTTTTTCAGATTACAAAGATCTTTAAGGAGCATGTTAAGTATGACAAGAGCATAAATGCAGAATAGAATAAGGAGAAAGAGGTGGCTCATTGTTAAGTGCTTGCCCTTTCTTGATTCCTGGCCTCTTAAGAGCTTCCTGCTACTACCTACTGTTCTCTTCTTAGACACAACTGTTTCTCAGGCCAGCTGTTTGTGTTTGCTTCTCTATGTCTGTGGAGGGAAGAAGGAAGCAGGAAAGTTGGCTTGCTGGGGACAACATGCTGTCTATACATTGTCTTCAGGGAAAGACAGAGGATCAGGAACTGTTAGGTTGAAAATACCTATGTCAATTCTTTTCAAAGCTGCCCCTCCCTCTATGGTAATCATCCAAGTGTAGCTCTTCCCTCTGTCTTCCAAGCTGGCTCCTTGTAAGTGACTTCACTTCTTTAGTAAAACATGCTATAATATTCTACTGCCCAATCCTCATTAATCTTACACATTGCACTAGTACAACAGAGAGAGAGTAAGCTGTTGTTGAGATAACTGGCTTCCATTAGCAACCATGTGATTGGCAGGACGATAAAGTCTTTTTCCTTGCAGGTCAGTTGCTTTTTAAGAAGAGGGCAATCCTGCTGATCCATCTTTTAGCTACAGTCTCTCACTGAGTCCCAAATCTCCTGCCTTTTAGCTTTGATACGGTTCAAGCTTTCCCCCTTGTATCAGCCCCTACCTGTCATCAGCTCCTCTGTACCAAACAGCGAATATCAGGAGTTTGACCTCAGGGCACAGTCCGGGTGGGCAGGTAAAACCTGACCACTGGACCTACTTCCTTATCTTTCATATCCTGCAATTCATGAAGAAGTATCAAATTCAAACTAAAAAACAGAAGCATGACCTTTTATAAGAACTTTCTGAAAAAGGCTCTGTTGCCTTTCTAAGTATTCCTGAAAAGAACTGTCATCCACCCTATTAAGATAGAAATGGATCACAAAAAACGAAAAGAGGAAAAGTACTGAAAATCCTTACTAAATGATAAAAGTTTTTAACGTGTGCCTACAATACCTTTTGGTGATACACACAAAAATATAGTAAAAAACAAACCAAAACAAATATACTAGAAGTAGTCTACATATACAAGCTTTAATTGCAACCCAATAAAGAGACCTTTCCTGTTTAAATGTATCTGAAATCAGACTCATGACATACAGAGCATCCTCTATAATGTGTTTGAGAGAACTGTAAGTTGCTAACATAAACTGAGAGTTGTCATAAGCAACGTAATATCTACTTATGTGACATACTTAACAGTTAGTGTTTAAAACATAAAAACCCATTTATTTCCTGTAGCAAGTATGTACACATCTGGCCCTCCTTCATAGCTGGAAATCATGATTTCCCCTGAAACAAATGCAGACTCTGCAAGGATTTATACCACTTAGGTAGATGACAGAAATCGTGCCAAAATCTCTCAGCATTCTTTCCCTTCAACTAAAATGATCTAAGTACAGATTTGAAGGTGTTTAATCATTTTTAACATTGACAGTAAAAAGACAATAAAAAAGAATCCAAAAGAGGAAGGCCGCTAGTCAAGGCAAAACTTGTGGTATTTGAAGTCTGGCAGAGTGCATCTTTACATGCTGAATGCTGGAACTCCTAAAGTACAAGTATCACATGAACAAATCCCTCCTCAGGATTTGTAGTCCACACTTATCCCTGTTCATTGATATATTACTGTGAGAATTTAACAGACAACTCTACCTTTTAACTTTTTCATTTAAGAAGACAGTTTAATGAAGTCCTCTCTAACTATTAGGAGAAACTGGAATACTTTTGCCTCAGGAATTTTCCCTTCTGAAATGTCTTTTAATAATCTTGCTGTGAAAAATCTACTAAACTATTAAAAACAAAAATATTCTTACTACATAGATAATTTGGTATGGAATTCTTTCTACTTTCTCTTCTTTTCTGGTGACTTTGACAGGCTCATAATGGTGCTGAAAAATATCACCAACATCTGCAGAAAGCAGTTAATGATTAATTTAATTATTTAGATAACACTTATACTTACAATTTTGTGAAATAATAAATCCTTTGTAAAAGCTAACTTCAAGCATGAAAAGGTTTTGAAAATCAATTGCTATGGGTGGATACAGTGTCCAAATTTACAAAGCTTTTTGTAGATTTTTTAGTAGATTTCGGTCTGGAAAAACCCTTCTTTTGGCAAGATCTGTGGAAAAGCACTTCCAATATTACGGCATTTAGAATTAAATTTGATATAGAATAAAGATCAGCCAGCTGGAATAAAGCTGCTTTCGAACAGTTTGAAAGAATTCTGTGTAACAAATTCAGGAAAGGAAATGTTAAATAATACCATGCCCGATTCTGCTATCCAGGGAGTAGTTGTACAGACAGAAGCAAATGCTCAGAATGGAATCAGGCCAGCACACACCAGGATAACATGTACACTCTTGCAAAAAGGCATCACGAGATCTTTACAAAATTTTCAGGACCAAAATTCAATCTAATATTCATGTAACAGTACCACCAGTAGCACAGTGCCCCCTAACCACACACTGGAGAAACAGTTTTATGCTAAATTACAGGGAATAGTGCCACTAATAACACTTCAAATAACTGCTTTTCACAACTAATTACATGGGAATGCAAAAACATGAAAGGTTCTTGAATTTAATAACTTCAGCATTGGTCAGAAGGGGAAATTAGTAGGATAAAAAACACCAAACTAGTGTCTTACTTGTCTGAGGTCGATGAAAGCTAACTGCAGGGTGTCTCCCTGGAATCCTGGCACAGGCTCAGAACTAGCAAACACTGGAAAAAAAAGGTTAAAATATTACGGATGTAGATTTTTTTTTTTAAATGTAACAGAAAATCAAGCTCTATTCAATATAAATGCTAGCTATCATTAAAATGAAACTAGTTTCACTGGATTAGTTTAAACTAATAACTCATAGTGATTAAAACTAAACAAACTAACAAACAACTTTTCCATAATTTTTACAGTAATCCAAAAGAAGAATACCTTTAGGAGTATTGCTAGAAATTTTATTTAAAATTCTAACCCAGTAGCAATGCTACAACCACAGAAACCAACATATTTTTTGGCCTGAGGTGCACGATTACTGAAGAATTTTGAAATAATACCAATTCCATGGTTGTCAACATATTTTCAAACATCTGCTTTTGTTGCAGCATTCATGCTATAAAAACTTCACCTCTAGCCAAACAGCAGTAAAGGAAAAACACTAAGGTGGGAGTTAGTTTAATGTGTAGACAACTGGTAGAAAGCTCTACGTGCCACAGTCAGAACAGAGCTGAAATGGCAGTTCACGCCTTTTAGCCCATTTGTCAGTAATGAACTTTGCTCATTTTGAACCCAAAAAAAGGCTGCCAAAATCAGAAGGCAAAACTATATTCAAAATACATAAAATGGTAACACAGTAATGAAAGAAAGCTATTGTTTAAATCAGAAAATGATCAATAAATGCCAAACTTAAAAATAAATACACTTTTTGTTGTTATTATCCCAGTCACAAGTTAATAACAAACACCCACTGCCCCACATCACCACTCAGGTAAGATATCTTATTTCAAAAGAACTTAAAAGTATTTTTCTTATGCCCTTCAGTCAGAGCTCTTAACAAAACAAAGTAGGTACTACTGCAAGAGTTTTAGAGAAGTATCATCTGAGGCAGTGAAAGGTAACATTTTTTTCCAACTCTGAGAAACTGGTCATTCAGTGGTAGAGGAAACAGAACATATGCATCCAAAAAATTTTCAGATCCAGAGCTAAGCTCTACTATGCCACATGGACTCCTACTAACGTGTAGTACAATGAAATCCTTAACATATTTTTTAAATGGCTAGTTAGAAAATTTGGATTAAGTAAAAGTAAAATCCAGAAAAACATTGGTGTCTGAGCTAACACAATGGTAAAATAATGGCCTCAACCATTTAATTCTGACTGTATGGGTTTAACTTAAAGCAGACTAATGAATTCAGACAGACTATTCACAAGTCCAAAAAAGATTATATGGAATACAATTGTAAATACGGACTTTTACTTAAATGGTACAAGAAATTAATAAGACCATCTCAGAATAATTAAGAATAGCTTAGTAACAGATGAATATAGTATCAGAGTAACAGCTTTACCAGCAGAGGCAGAATTTATTACTTGTATTACAGTAGTGCAAAAATTTTTTTATGAGAGTCACGTAATAGGAGAATGAATTAAACTGTAATACTTCTTTGTCAAGTAAAGAAATAAAAAATAGTAATCAAACGCCCTAGAGAGATCGCTGTAATGTCTCAGACAAGTACTAATAGCAGTTGTCAAATGCTCACTGATTACTGTATTCAAGTCTGAATTCTAAATTGTCTAGTTTTCCTACTTTATAAGTAACACCAACTTTCTAGGGGAGTTTTCAGGGAATTTTAATCGACCACAAAGACGCTTTCAAAATAAAAATTAAGAAAAATAAAAAACAGTAGAAAAAGCATATCCTACGCTCAGCATTTTATAGAGAGAGTTTTCTAATAATAAACTCTTTAAAAGCAGCAAGGAGAAAGCAGCCTGTACAACCACCAAACCAGAGAACAACAAAAGACGTCCATGCCTATGCAAGCACCCTTCTGAACAGCCTTGCCTAAAGGCTTGCAGGTCCACATGGCTGCCTTCTGCAGGTATTTCATGGCCACTGGGACCACCCTTTGTTCAGGGACAGCCAGGCTGGCCTCTGTGGGCAGCCAAACACAGCGTTTGAAATGGGAACACCACACTATAGCAGGGAACTCCAAGCAAAGCTCCATAGCAAAGAGCTAAAAAGAGATACATGAGTTGTGAGCTATGGCAGCACACCAATAAGGAAGATAAGCCTGATGGTCAGAAGGGGTCTTTTCTAGACCTCTTAAATCAGAAAGGAGAAGCCTTACTACTCTTGAAAGGTAAGACCCATCTGTATCTGACTCTGTATTAACTTTCTGTTCCCAGACAGTACACTGAGACCGGCTTCCTCCACTATAGTCTGAGCTCCTCCAGCCACTCCACAATGGTAGCACTGGGAAAATAAAGGTCAATGGCAAAGAAAGGGCCACAGAACTGAAAAGTAAATATGACTGAAAAGTGTGACCTGCGGAAAATCATTTCAGTTAGCTATTGGCACTACACAGTTCAGGAGGTATCTTCCTACAGTGGGATACTCTTACATGCCACAGGGCAAATATTTGCATCTTTTCTGCAGTTCATCTGGCTAAGGTAGTTTGGAATTTATCCTAATGCATTAAATAATGCAGAATGATTTAGTTTCTATACATAGTACCTACTATCATCACAGTTATAGAACAAGAAGCACAATGTACCAAACTTAATTATTGTATAAGTTTTGTTCTCATTACCTAGAATTTTATATAGTGAATGCATTTACAACATCAGGGACACTCATTATAGCACAAGCATTTATTCTCACATTTGGATCACTTTGACAGGTGACTACAGTAGAATTTGTTTCATTATTACAATTTCATGAGTTCAAAGGGCAAAAAGATAATCTACTTATGGTAACGGTCAGACAGTTCCCCCTCCGCCCTCAGCTCAGGGCTTTTAAGTTTGCTAACAATTTTACAAAGCTAATTAAATATTTTCTACTGCACAGCATTTTAGGAAGATATTATAAGAACAGGATTAACATTCTTAATGTCTTTGTCCTAAGGGTCCTTTTCCAGATAGTAATGAAACATTGTCATATATACATCTTTTAAAATCTTCACCCCCTACAATCATTCTAGGTTTAAAGAGGATTTGGAAGGGTAGGGGGCTGCTTGGTTGTTTGTTTTACTGTGCATAAAAGCATTCAGGAATTTTATCATAAAGGAGAATGAAATACAAAGATCACCACTGAACAGTTATTTTTAGGGAGAAACAATTGGTTGCTTGGCGGTTTGAATCACAAACTTAAATGTCTGGGAAAGATCAGCTGAAAATACACATTACATCAATCTGGTATTCACAAGATTTTTGTTAATATCTTCTCTCCTTTCATTTTGCTGATATTGTGTAGACCTTTCCTGTATATACAGAACAAGATCTTTGGCACAATGTGTGTCCTCAATATGTAGAATCTCAACATACTTCGTATAACAAGCAGTTTAGGAATATAAAGAAGGTAGGATCTAATGAAAAAAATAGGTAGTAACACAAAAACAGGCTGGGAGGTAACACATACACTATAATGTTAAATGTAAATATTTCAAAGATTATTTCAGTCCATTTTCTTTTGAAGATTTTGCTTTGATCTTTTAATTATATTTTGTGTACAGGATATATGTGATTTTTATATATGTGTGTGTGTGTGTGTGTTAATGGAGATCTCAAGAAAAAGGCCGTGTCTGCTAAATGGAATTTAAGACTTCTTTCCCTGTAAATTGTACTGAATTTCCACAAAAATCTAGATATATTATCAAGTCTCTTCATTTAGTCTCTCAAACCCCCAACTTTTAGACATCATCTGGTTGTGCCCTTCTGTTGGTCTGGGAATTCTGTACCTAATTCCTGACAAACAGCTTTGCCACTCAATGGCAGAAACTAAAAACTAGAGTCCAGACTTCGAATCAAAAGCTAAATTAGGACAGTTTTACTTCAGTCTCATAGCACTGATTCACAGGCAGGACAGTAAAGGTACAAATGTATTTTTAAAGGAAGAGTGGAGAATCAGGTGACAATCTCAGCAGCCACTTTGCAGCCCTGTTGGATGCTCCAGCTGTTCAAACACGCCTGGAAGGGAGCCTTGTTGAGGGAACTGCCAGCTGGCCAGGCAGCAGCCCCCAGCCCTGGCCCCAGCACCAGCAAGATCGGCTGCTTCCCCTCACTCCGTGCTGCCATATGTGACCGGCAGATGAAGGATGGTCTCAAGTGAGTTAACTTAACCTGGCTTCCCAGAAGGAAGAGGTGGCAGGTAAAGTGAGGGGCCTCCAGAGGAGAATATAGTGCCTTTTCATGGAAAAACAGGATTTGAGTTCCCCAGCTTCCGGCATGCCCACCTGGACATTACCTTTGTGTACACTCCACAGAGAGCACTTTGGTCAAGATACCACTTTCTCTTGGAAACTGCAGCTCTCCACATATCGGGTGAAAAAGGAGGGACTGTCAGGAAGCCCTATGTAGGGCTGATAAGAAAGATACACAGCATCCTGCTTTGCACTAATTCTTCACTAACCCATGCTCATTTATAGGCAGGACCCCAAACTTTTCATCCTTGCACAGAATCATATTTAGGTGAAGACAGACACCCACTCAAACATATTTCATTCTGCCAATTCATCCTGCCTCACAGTTCAGCAGTGTTAAAATGCATAAATTATAAAAATTACATTTAGCTCTTCCAAAAATTAGAATTTCTGACAAGTTCTAATTCCTTAATAAAAAGCTGATGTAAGGTATGTAGATCTGGATGGTGTCTCTGAAAAGCTATTCTTTTATTATACACACCTTTCTTCTTGTAAAGTGGGATACAGCAGCCCACATTTGACTTTCATCTTCAAGAAATAGCAAATAGCCTCCCCTTCCCAATCCATTTTCCTCCTGAAAATGGAGAACTGAAATGCGATGTCCAAGCAAAAGACTATACTTTGGATATTATTCAGTGGAACCTGTATGTTCTGTTTTCTGAACACTGTTCCAAGAATCCTAATCACCCTACTGGAAGATAACCACTGATAAAGAGTGGTGTAAAATATGGAGGTAAAACACTGCTCCAGGCTATAAAATATGTAGAGAGAGTGGAGAAATACTTCAATTAGAACAGGACAAACTAAAATCAAATGGAAAGCTTTTGGAATGTTTGCAAGGAAACCAAAAAACTTGTTAGAAGAAGAGCAAGAAGATGATCACATTTTTTTTAAATGAATCATTAAAGAAGACCAGCTGATGCTATTACTATTGTTAAGCAAAAATAACAGATGCTTCCAGATTTTCTGCTCTGCTCTTTAAAGTTAGGTACTATAGGTACTACACTGCACAGAAATTTAGTGCAGGATAATGAAATGGCAGTTCACCACCAGATCACTTCCTTCCCTTCCACTTTCATTTCTTGGAAGTCCACTTATCATTCTACCTATTCACTGCGAAGACTAAGAACTTCAGCACTTACTGACTTTAACAGATTGCTGCTCATTAGCAGATTGTTGGGTTGTTGGTTGGACTGTTGATTGTTTTTTAATGGAAAAGAAAAAAACCTGACAGGTAATCACATTTTTCTCCTTTTATTTAGATCTCTCCAGTTCATACAAGAAAGAATAAAATTACAAATGTTAAAGATCAGAAAAAATATCTAGAATATTACCAAGAATTTTTAAAAATGTATCTTCAGATAACTTTCTACATCTCACCTAACTTCACAGTTCAAAATGCATGAGTATACTCTACTGTGTCTAGAAGTAAAATGTCAAACTCATGTATACAATACAGTAGAAAACTACCCAACAGTTGTGAATTATATGCACACTCTAAGCACTAATTGAAATGTCACTGTCGTATCCATTAATCCCAAAGCATCAAAGAATAAAGCTGGGGGAGGGTGATGAACAAGAACATAAATCACAGGCATCACAGCGAGGCCTGGAATGTGCTTGTGATGGACCTTATGAATGAAACCACATCAGCAAAGCTGTCTGAGCAAAATCTTGTGTCAATCCTTTATTCCACAGATCGCAAAATGTCCTCTGTTGCAACATACTATCCTGACAATAATTACATAATTACATTTAAACTATTCAAAGGGTTTCTGTGCAAAACCAATTTTTTTTTTCTAACATCCTTGAAAAGCTTTGCACAGAAGAAGAAATAAAGTTTATTCTATTTGCATTTGTACAGCCCATGCTAAAAGTTGCACACTGGTGGAAAGAAAGTGTTTCAGTCTTCAGGTTACTAGCTTTCTGAAAATGTCTTATTTTGGCCCAAGCTTTGTCATGTCCTGTCCATGCCATATGCTCCCAGAGTGAAATAGTGAATTGGTTAATCTATACAGAGTACTGAACTACTGCGTTGTTCACAGCTGATATTTTAAAAATTAGAAACTGAATAATTTGGTAACGGTTAAGTTTTCTTCACTGTTACACTAGCAGATGACTGTTCAGTGGATATCCTAATTCAGCTTGTCTAGATGAATGATTATGATGTCAGTATTATGAATACTATGTAATTTCTGTTTTTACAACTGGGATCTTTTTTACATCTAGAAAACTACACAAATGAACAAACACATACCCCTATCCACATACCTGACAAGAAGACTATTAAATTTGCAACATCAAGCGTACTAAAAGCAAAAGAAGTCAAACCATGATACGTTTGGCCAACTTGTACAATCACGAGACAAATTTTAATGTCACAATCACAAATACTTTTTCAATCTGACCCAGATAATCCCATCAGTTCATTCCATGCACTGAAAGGCCTTAGGGCTGGATAGTGAAGGACTGTCAGAAAGATGCCTGCTCTACCTGTTACAGAGTTCAGCTGGAATGTAACAAAGGCAGGAGAAGGAAAGACAAGTGTATGGTTCAAATGTCAAAAATGTCCCTAAACTCTGTCCCTGGACTCCCACAAGAATCCTTTGTGATGCTAATCAAATTGCTTGAAATCAAATTTCCAGTCTCCCATAGGTGGCTTCTAACTGAGTCATCAATTTTTTTCACATATCCAAACTAAAAACCTCAGGATACAACTTATAGAACTGCCCCATTATACAGCTGTCACCAAAATCACCGAGACCCATCCTTCAAATACATAATAGAAAAGATACTTTGGAAAAAAACAGAGCAGAAGAATCTGAAAATATGCATTGAAAAAAATCACTAGTCAGTCTTTCCACTGTATCTCAGTCATCAACTATAAAACAATTAAAACTATATTCACGGAATTAACTTCCTTCATACAGATTAAGAGCTTGCCCTCAACCATGAGCTCTATGCAAAACATGAGGTAATTAATCCTGCCTTCAGTGCTGGATTGAACTTGAACCAGTTTATAAAATAACTCTGATGCCATATTTTAAATGGTGAGAATAAAACAACATCTGATGTACACTAAATGAGTACTAGTATTCTGCATGGTGAGTAAGGCAGTAGCAGCTTTAGGAGTAAGGAGACCCTGTGTAACAGCACATTTAAAATTTGTACCATAATAGATGAACTCAAGAACAAAAATTAAAATTCCACAGACATTTGAACTTTTTTTTTTTCTTAACAATTTCATAATAATATTTATATTGAAGTTTTGGGCAATTCTGTACTAAACTATTGTCTTTACTGGATACAGTGATTATGATCCCATTAGGAATAAAAACAATGTATGTTTCAATCACACACTTGAGTTAAAAAAAAAACTTTATAAAAAAATTCCCAGAAATTTTAACATACTTATAAATATTTTCTCAAGAAGATATACTGTCATATTAATCGTTTCATAAAAGACAAAGTTTTAGTACATTATGGAAAAAGATCACTTACACTATCTTTTTTCAGTGTTAAGACAGATGTAGGTTGGAATATATACTTACATTCACACTGGATCACATCTAAATTAAACTGCTGAATTGCTCCCATGCTTATTTGTTTTAATTCACTGTCCAGTAGCATCTGCATTAGGGACATTGAAAGATGCTGGCAGGCTGACATGCAAGCTGTCTGGGCCACTTTTCCCTAGTAGAAAAAGCAATAGGTTTTAAGATAGAAACAAATGATATGTCACTAGAGAACTACTTGTCTGATTTGATTTCAATATACACTCAAAGTCTTAATGATACAGAACTTAGATTAGGAAAGAGATCACACTTTCTGTTATTTCTCTGACATGTTAGCTTTGTTTCTATTAGATCAAATGGATAACTAGATTAAATATATGTCAAAGCAATTATTAATATTTCTTCCATAAATCCAACAGTTTTCATGAATACAAGGACTTTTCCAAAACATTATAAGTTGCTGAAGCATATGAAGATATGAATAGCTTTGTGGTTTTATTGAAATATTTTAAACCCAAACAGAATGAAAGCAAGAATGTTATGAAAATCAACATGTTGCATATTTTTAACAATAGTAAATAAAAACCTCCCAAACTTTATATAAACAAAAATGATTGCTATGACTTGGGGCATTTCTCATAACAGCTTGTGCTAATTATTGTTACTTTAATTGCTTGAATTCCATCTCAAAGCTTGTAGCTAAATTATTTAAAATATTCATGTTTATCCATCATCTTTTCAGCGCTTAATAAATCAGTGCTGTCAATAATCAACTACTTACAAAATGAAATGTAGCCCTCTGCTGTACAATATAGAAATAATTTCCCAATCACAGTCTCACTAGTAACATTGCTCTTTATCATCTATATGTAATTGAGATAAATTTTCCAACATGAGACCAAAAAACAAAACACAAAGTCAGACATTAACTTCATAATCAATTATTAAAAATTTAGTACAGAAAAATTCAAAGATAATGAAATTCCACCTTAAAGCTAAGAAAACCACTTAAGACCAGATACTGAACCAGATGGCACCATTCTATTCATAGCACTGCCATCTTTTAAAGCAGAGTGATCTTGGCTTTCAAATGCAACTACCTGAATCTCTGTAGTTTAATGCACTTAAACCTCACTTTTCAATTGATGTCTATGTTACAATGTATATTGAAACAAAGGTAACAACACACTTGCACAAAATAAATCACAATTATGTAATACAGCTACTGGAGCACACACCACTATTTTTTCCTTCTATCCATCAGTGAAATGATAACACCTGTTTCTCTAAACCAATGGCTCCCCAGCTGTTTTCTGCAAAGTCAGGTTAAGCAATTCACTGTTGAATCCCAGAAACACACACAAGCAATGAAAGATTATAATAGACAGCAGTTCAATGTCCCAAAAAGTTTGGAAAGTTCTGCTCCAGCTTCTGAAGAGCCAGATCTTATCCTTAATAACTCAACTAGCTCACGTAATTGACTTTTCATGTACAGAAAATTTTCATAACAGAAAGCAGATTTGGCCCCAAATATTTTGTACTTTAAAAATCCATTATTTGTTAAAAGGTAATTAACCAATTGTGTAGTGAACACAATGGAAAGCCTTCAACTCTCCTCATGTTCACACTGAAACATTAAATGGTTGTTGCTAATACCTCCTTAGCAACCTGTCAGTAGGACACCTTGAACTGTTAGGAGCTTTATATCTAAAATGAGATGTCAGTTTCTTAATTGAAAATCTCAGAAAAGCACATAACATTTTTGAGCAAAATAGATGAACTGGCAACAAGGAATGTAAGAAACAATGCAAGAACAGCATGCTTAAAAGTCTCCCAAATCCAATGGTAATTACACCGGGAGACACGTAGCTCGATTCCCCAAGCAGAACAATACCAATAGGAATTGCGGGGGGGGGGAGGTGGAGAAGAAAAAAAATAGGGGAAAAAGGAAGGAAAAAAGGAGGTGAGAACGGGAATCAATGGGCCACAGTTCATGTAATTACAGTGTAGTAGATTTGAAATACTTAATGGAAATGTCATTTTGATTTAATGGAACAACTAGTGCATCTCTGTTTAATGTACTGCTCCATCAAATCAGCTCCATGTCCTATTTATGCTGCCACTATAATGTAATAAAAGTTCAACCAGATTAATAGGTTGTCACGAAAAATTTTAACATTCAGTTTATTTCATACGCAAATAATGTGTACTCCTCTGTTATCTTCAATAAAAGACAGAATTTTATATTTCTAACAAGCATGTGTAGTTAATTGTTACAATCTGGCAAATATCAATAGTACTGGAGCACAAGGTAATGGTTACAATACAGAAATGACATGGTTAAAGCCACTTGGACTTTAAATAAGTATTAATACATGTACATTTAATGTTCATTTTAACATTTCATAAAATGGAAACATCCTAACATATAAACTATTTCCAACTATGTAACTTGAACTACAGGCTTATTGTTCAAATGACATATCAAAAATAATAGAAGTTTACTATACACAGTTAATACTTACTCAATAAAATCACTCAATATTCTCAAATTTAGAGAAAAAATGAAGCTACACATACCTCTCAAAATGCTGAATTTTAACTGAAATAAATGTGAACTATACTGTTATCCTCTTCAAAATTCAGTGCTTCCCAATTCAAAATATGTTGGATGTATGATACTCAGGAAAAAATGAAATTAAAATTTGTTTTTGAAAAATGAGATCTAGTTAAAAATCTGTCTCCGAATTTCCACCATCTACCAATTAATCAGTTCCTCACCATGTTTTCATACAGCATTTTGAAGAGGAAACATAAGGATTCATGAACATAGCAATGACATTTATTTTCCAGAATTAAATCCCAGTTAGTTTTAAAACATTATTGATGTTTTTATTTACCAGTTTGTTGTTTGGGGTTTTTTTAATTAATATTATTAATTTTTAAGGGGGGCGGGGGTGGCCGTGGTTATCTAGCAATTAAATACCTATATTCAATAGCATGCAGAGATTCAGCAGGCTTCTCACATTCTCCCCAGTTGCCTCCCATTTGGAGACACTACTATTGTCTCTGCTGTGCCTATGCTAATTGCTGCTGTCTACAAAACCTATTCTTCCACTCAACCAATGTAAAGTTTAGGAAACAAGGACCCCATTCTATAAGCAAAAACACCTGCTAACAGTGTTAAAGGAAACTGGTTTTTTCACCCAGCCTTCACATTTTGCTGAAATACAAGTTTGTAAAAAGAGAAAACCCTTAGACAAACTTCTTATATTTCAAAGGAGCTTGTAAAGAGAATTTGCTGACATATTAAATCCTTTTTTATAGGACCCAAAAGCTTTTCTCCAAAGAACAATTGTAGTAAAGAGACATTTGGCTCCTAGGAATTCCCAAAGGGTCAGCCATATGCATCCTTCCACGGCACCTTCGCGGTGCTAATTTCTAAAACCCATGCTTGCTGTCTCAAAAGCAGCTTTCATCATTCACTATGGTGTCAGTCAATATGATTTATGGACTGCATTTCAACAAAGTCAAAGCATATAGAATGAGAAATATGACTACAATCTGCTAATTTGTTTTGTATTGAGCCACTTAGGAGTCAAAGACCTGATGTCAGGCTGAGACCAGCAACACAATTAACCAGCCAGTGACAGATTCATCCATCCTCCCTGCCAGGCTGTGCCAATCAAAGACAGCATGAAGCAGCATTTGGAGAAATCAGTAAGAAAACTCATTCTCTAAGTAGCCTGTGAAGGCTGTTGATTGACAGTTTTTGAATATGGTTGCAGAAAACCACCACCCCTCCGCCCCCACTGCAAGCTGTGAAATTAGACTTTTGCTGCCAATCACAGAAACAATAAAATAACACAAACTGCCATCCTCAGCATAAAAAGAAAATAACAAAACTTATCTGTTAGAAATCTAAGATGTTAAGCTGAAGAATTAATTTAATAATACGAAATGAAAATGTCATTCTTTCTGAAAATGCAAAGAAATTAAACATACAGATTTTATCAGTTGGAGCTAAATCCAATTTTTGAACTATTGATAAAATACAAGTATACTAAAAGCACTAGTGGAACTTTTAAGAATCAATTTTACCTACAGCCTCTGCCCCAAATGCTACTGAAACAATGAAAAATACCTAACTGAAAGTAATTTGTAACTGTTGTTTTTCAATGGCCATTCTTTTCCAAAGAGTTGTCCAGTACTAACTTTGTATTTGCATTATATTTGTATTGACAAGGGACATACCTAGAATAAAATTTCAGCTAATTCTAAACTTAGATTAAAAGCACTTATATACAGACCCATTATAATTTCAGATTACCTGATCTGAAATTAGAAGGTAACATTTTTCCTTAACAGTTCAAAATTAAACTTGAAAAAAGGCAGGTCCTTAATAAAAATTTGATCATCCAATTTATTTCAGGAGATGAATGGCTGTATAATGAAATTTTAATTTGCTTTTTGATTCAGAGCATCTAATGGTACTATAAACTGCAACATGAACTTAAAATAGGATGTAAATATAATCTCAAAAGACTCAATTCTTATGAATTTAGAAAACAGAACCATTAAAAACTGCATAATTCTCAAATTATAACCTTCCAAATTCCACGCAGCTTCCGTGCTCTGCTTTGCTGAAATTCTGCTAGTCCTTAGTCATGGCATAACGAGCAGACTGAGACCTATGCAACATTAACAGGAAGTATTTCTACACAAAATATTCAACATTCATAGTGCTCATGACACCTATTACCTCAACAGTTCAACATGACGCTGAGTATTCAAATGATAGAAATGTTCATAGGAATGAACCACTAACATCATCTAGTCCAACCTTCTACTTGGAGCAGGACTATTGCCAACACTGGATCAGGTCCATTGTCCCTTTTCCTCACTAAGGTTTCAAAATCACCAAGGACAGGAATTCAACAATGTCACTCTGTAAACTCCTTCAATACCACACCACTCTCTTCATGCAAACTTTTGCTCTAATATTGAAGCTTCACCTCCTGAGCTTCTATCTGTGACCATAGGCACGTGTGAATTTGTCAGTCCTACCAAGAAGAGTTTGGCTCCATCAGTTTTGGTTTTGTTCTTCAAGAGGTTGTAGGCTGCCACTAGATCTGTCTGCAGTCTTCTATTTAACAGGCTAAATACTTGACCTCCGTAACTCCACTTGTAACTCCTGTGCTCTAGGATCCTAACAACTTGGGACCCCACTGCTAGATCCATTCTCCACATTTTGATAATTTAGTAATATTAACTTCATCACTTTCATTATCATGGCAATGCTTATGCCAAATCAAAATAAACTCCTCATATAAAAAAAATGACATGAAAATAATCAGGGAATGGAAGAATTCTTAAATGCAATGCATCATCTTCTTTAAAAAATTTTAAAAAAGCAAATAAAGAACACCAGCACACACATTCCTTTGACCCCAGGCAGAGGTAGCAGAGAAACTACGGAACTTTTGCTGATTCTTTATTCAGCTCTATCACTCTACCCTTATTCTGTATGCATGTCTCATGGCTGTATTTTGATACCTGACCCCTCTTTCAAAAGGTCTAATAGTCTCCTCTAAATTACCTCATTTGGGATGCAAGACACATCCCATCAACCTTCTGCAAGGTTTTTAGGACTCCTGCTGTCTGTCCCAGTGTATGAAAGCCCAATGTTAGCCATTAACTCGATCCCTGCATGCAACCACACAAGGTACACAGCAAGTCATCAGCAAAACAGAAAGGGTCTCTTTATTAAATGATTAAAAATTGAAGCAATAAGCCTGCAGGCAGTTCATAGTTTTTCTGTTCACATGCTTTTTCTTCATCTTGCATCTACTTACCGACATAGCTGCATGGTCATTGTTGTTATTCTGAGAAGGAAACCAGTAAGGCAATCAAAACAAAAAAATTAAGATGTACTGTCAACTTCAAAAAAAAAAAAAGAATAAAAAATTGGTAGCAATAACAGGTAAGAAAAATCTAACAAAAAGAACAATTATAGCTACAGAATTCCTTAAATTATTTTTTTAAAACCTGTGAATTTACACAGTATTTTGTTGAGGCATAACAAAGAGATTTTAATTTAAATACTACTAATCTGTCAATAATACCTTTTTCTGTAATAAGGAACTGTATGCCAAAATATCAAAGTAGCAAACTTCAAATGACAAAGTGTCTGTTGAAATGCCCTTCCAGAAAGTTTTCATTACAAGAAAGAACATATTCCAAAACTCTTACATTAAAAAATATATGCCACGTTTACCACCTTGGCTTACAGAGGTTATCTGTATGCCATGAACATACTTTGTTCAAGCAAGACTTACAATGGTCGAGGATATAAGAATCTAAATGTAACATGACTCATTAATAAATTTTAACATAAATCTAATGGCAATATCACTCTAGGGTGGAATAAAGCTATTTTCTTTTCCAATATTGCTTCCTAATTACAGTAAACAAACACAGAGGAGAAAACTAAGATGAAAAACTTAAGAGAAGGGGGGAAAAAAAAAGCTTTGGAGACACAAGACATTTCCCATGATTCAACAGAGATATCAGACTCTAACTAAGTTGTGTCATTTTGTGTGCAGGTTCAGTAGAGTTGAGATCATAGCCTACCTGATTTAAAGCTCTAACATTCCAATAAAAATAATACAAATTGCATAAAACAGATACACAACATAAGATGTATTATTGAAAAGTTGTGCCTACATTGGTACAGAAATACTTCATTACAGCCCCACATGGAAGCACAAAAGGAGACGCATCCCTGTGCATTTACACAGCTTACACACACAGCTAAAATAAAATGACATTCTACCAACAGGAGCCAAATGAATCACAGCAAAAAAAATTGTTAAAGAACATATTTTAACAGTTCTACAAGAAGAGTAGCATTTGAAACAATACCAAAGAGAAAGACCCTTGAGTGTGACTACAGAGAACTAGTGTGGCCAACCAGCCACACTGTCCCCAGCCCTGGTACAATGCCCTCTAACACCATCAGATATGCTAAGGTAGAACAGAAGAGATTCCTCTACTTGTCCCACTCTTTTCCTTACTAGAATTATGGCCAGTGGCTAGGACTTTTGTTCTTCGATTTCTAATTGCATAAAAGTTCTGACAAACTATTTGGAGCAGAGGAATGTTTCTGCCAGTCATATAAAAATTATTATGGAAATGACACGGTGACATTATTGGAATAATCCATTGATGAAAATTAATTCTAAAATTATTCCAAATCTTAATTATGGCATAGGAGAATCTAGCTTAGTTTAGCACTCCAAAGCACTTACTATTTTAATGAGCTATGGAACCTAGTTCTGGGCTAATCTTTAAAAATGCTTTTACTATAAATTTTCTCTTAATGAAAGTAACTTACTAGTACAAGTCTAATCAGAATTACCATAATGCAACTGTGTACACATTTTCATATAAACTCCAGAGCTCACACACAACATCCATAAGACTGTATGTTTCTACAACTGGCCAAGGTAGGATAGGAAACAAGATGCAAGATAAGTAAAAAATTATAAGAAACCTCTTGCCAGAGCAGATTAGTTGTCCATATAGTTCTACATCCTGCCTGGTACCTGACCAGAGTTTGAAATTAGAGAATAGCCTCTTCACAGGAACTACCTTTCTCCAAAGGCTGACCTGTGCCCCCAGGCACATATTTCTACTCTTTCTACAATTTTTAAGTCCTAATGCCACAGCTGCTTCTTTCCATCCCTCTTAACACATTACATTCATGGCAGATGTCTGTACATCCTGCTCTACAAACTTCACATCCCTTAACTACAAAATGCATATAACCACAGAGGAGCAGTGCCTTTTGTTCACGCTGCTTTGTATACTGAGTTATTATGAAATTAACTATCTAACAAACTTATTCTGTATCAAAAAACGCTCCACTGATTTGGCACAGAAGCACATGCCTCACACAACACAGTCAATATCACATGATACGTTTTGGGTGGGTTCTGTCTTTGAGTCAGTTAGAAGAACAGGAGATTGAAGAATCACAGCCTCTTCACATATAATCTGGAAGACCAGATAAGCCCACTATGCCAGCAACTTCAAAACCTTGCTGTGCACATAAAGAAATTATTATTCAGACTATTTCCAGTCTGAAGCCTCAAAACATTCTATGCCTCAAGGACTTATTCTTTACAAGCATTGCATGTGGGCAAAGCACTCAGACATCAGTGTGACTGTAGTAACCAAGGACAAGCTGATGAAAAGCAGATGTAGCTTGAATGACTTACTGAAGTCACTCCCAACCTATAAAGCTATAAACTATTACGATGATAAACCAAACTGGAAGCAGTCTTTTTTGTCTTAAAGCAAGGGGAAATCAGACAACAGAATGTAACAATTCATGCATAAGACAAGTTAACAGTACCCTTTTTGTTGGGACAAAATAACACAGGATATATTTGAATACGAACAAGGATTTATTTCAAGGAAGCTCAGTTCACTAGAATCAAATGACTTCTTATGATCAAAACTATTTAGCTAAAAACCTTGGAGAATACAAGACCTCCATAATCTGATGCACAAATGCAGGATTAGCACCAATTCTGCATTGTTTGGATCAGTGCACGTATACACAAAACCAAGATGTTTAACTAAAAAGTCCATCTGATGCTCTACAAAACTGTATGAGTTCTTACATTATTTATAAATTAGTTGTTGGTAACAATATTACTAAAGTATTTGTAGGTATTTTCTTCGTATTCCCATGGGTAACCATCACCAATATACTGAAACACATATGACAATATTCCTGTGCTGAAAAAAATTAAAAATACATCTTGCAAGCATATGCACAATTCAAAAACCATATCTATCCTCAAAACCTTCATGTATTAAAATAAAATGATGTTGAAACAGTTTGAAATTAAATTTAATTTTGAACACTTACAGGTAAATGAGTAAAAACTTGAAACGTGCTTCTTAAAAAGTTAATTAGGTCCATTAAGTATCCACTGGCTCTTCCATCTGATTCAGACATTGTCCAATCATAATCAGCAATCTGAATAAATTCATCTATTTTTTGGTTAAGTTTTGTATATATTTCTCCTTCTGCAGCATGTCTTGCATCCTGAAAAAAAAAATCGTGTGCAATTGTCAGAATTCTAAAATATTATTAAATGCAGATAAAACTATATCCATCAACAAAACTCAAGTCTTGTGTTTTTCTTAGATTAAAAAATATTTTATTTAAATTAGCATTTTAACTTTGTCTTACAGTAAGTCTGGGGCTGTGGTTTTTAAAATACTCGCATAATGCATACTGTGAGCGTTTATAAAATAACATGCCTACAAAAGAATCTAAGTTCTCAGACAAATGAAGTTAATTTGAATTTGGAAACAAAGCAAGTTCTTTACTCTCTTCACAACAACCACCTTTTATTCAGCCTTACAAACCCTGACACAAAGTTTATTTGCCTTCTTTTATAAAGAAAATAATAAAAGAACCTAATAATTTTATCTTGTATGGACAGAGGCCCAGCAATCATGATTTTTATGTAATAATGCCTTAAAGCTGCACATCTGAAAAATACTCATAATTTTTCATACTCCTTTAAATATCCTGATCATCATACACCATGATTCAGAACTTCCTCCTACCCCTACTTTTTGTTCTGCCACACAATGGATTCTACTTTTTGGAACAGTGAAGTCCTGCATTTACTGCGAACTGAGTTCACACTGCTAATGATCTGCTTCATTTGTGTAGGGGACACCTTCAGAGTTCCAATGGGATCTATGTGCAGATGCTTGGTACGTTTGTGTTGCTGGAAAAGTGTGCTTTTGCCAGCCTGGAGTTTAAAGTTTCTCAATGTCTTTCTAATTTGGGCACAGCATGAAACTTTCTTCACCGATACGGAGCAATAATTCAAGTAAGATATTTGATTTAAAGTGAACAGATCAGTTGCTTGAGATTTTTAGAGAGTTAAAATAGGCTGGATATACCGAAGCAACAAAAAAGCAGATGAAACTCCCATCATTACTTTCTTCTAGGAAAAAGCAGTCCAAAAAACATGGCACTTCAGAAAAGTGTAAATGTGAAAGGCAAAAAGAAAAAATAAAAACATTTACATTTATCTGAGATTACAGGTGCTTTTACATTGAATGTGCCAAATTTAGTCTTCAGTCAGGCCCCAGGCTATGAGGCACTTCAGAAGCAAGCAAGAAAGCATGTGGCCCTGCCATGAATAAATACAAAAGTATGATTCCTTAAAAATTGCATTTTTACTGCCAAAACAACTTGTAGAAGCCTCCACTGAATGGCTCTCCCAATCCAACACACAAGAATCTGGCAACCTGTTAACATGTCAGAGGAATATGTTGACATCCACAATTTTGTAGACGGTCATGACTAAGAAAGCTTTAACTAATCTATATTTAAAGTTTCTAATTAACAATGAGACCTCAGTTTCAACAATCTATAATGATGGGGCTTGCAAATACATCTGCTTCAGCTTAGCAAAATTCCTTCAATTTTTTGTTTGTTTGGGTTTGGTTTTTTTTGTTTAAAAACTAAGTCATTTGTGGAGTGATTGTATAACCCTTAACAGTTAAAATGATTTACTGGTGATGGGAAGACTAGTCCTTCTGTTTTTAAAAAAATGTAGTGTAGATGCACTTAAAAGTTCATCTCATGGAATGTAAATGTGATCAATGCTGCTAATAAAAGGAGATTTTTGACCACTCAGAAAGAATGGAGGTGACACAATTTGCCACCAGGTCATGAATTTAATAACAGTAGAACATACCAAACTCTCTGAGAGCCCAGGTGAGAAACTGTGAGCAGTTTTTCATTACAATAGAGAGGGAAAAAAAAAGAGGGATTAACAAGAAAAGAATTCTCTACTTTAATTGGAGAACACTGCGCTAACAAGTTTTCCAGCAAAGTAGACAGGAGAGAAACCATACAAAATAAAAAATCTTGGTTGTCAGCATTCATCCCATATTCTTCTTTAGTGCATAGATACTAAGCACAGATACAGAATTCGGTTAATCCCTCCAATACATATTGGATTTCTGTGGCCAGGTTTTGGCAGTGGGGGGGCCTACAGAGGTGGTTTCTGTGAGAAGCTGCCAGAAGCTTCCCCCATGTCCAACAGAGCCGATGCTGGTCGGCTCCAGGATGGACCTGCCACTGGCCAAAGCCAAGCCCATCAGGAATGGCAGTAACATCTCTATGACAACATGCTTAAGAAGGAAAAAAAAGTTATTGGGCAGATGAAAATTGCTGCCAGAGAAGGGCAGAGTGAGAACATGTGAAAATCTCTGCAGACACCAAGGTCAGTGCAGAAGGAGGAGCAGGAGGTGCTCCAGGCGCCAGAGCAAAGGCCCTGCAGCCCGTGGTGCAGACCATGGTGGAGCAGCTGTGCCCCTGCAGCCCATGGAGGGCCACTGGGATGCAGAGACCCACCTCAGCCTGTGGAGAAGACACACTGGATCAGGTGGATGCACAAAGGAGGCTGTGAGCCCATGGGAGGCCCATGCTGGAGCAGGGTCCTGGCAGGGACCTGCAGCCTGTGGGGAGAGGAGCCCACACTGGAGCAGGTGTTCCCTGGTAGGACTTGTGGTCCTGTGGGGGACCCAAGCTGGAGCAGCCTGTGTCTGAAGGACTGCACCCCATGGAAAAATGACCTGCATTGCAGCAGTTTGTGAAGAACTGTTGCCTGTGGGATGGACTCATGCTGGAGAAGTTTGTGAAGGACTATCTCCCATGGGAGGGACCCCACAGGAAACAGGGAAAGGACTCCTCTCCCTAAGCAGAGGCAGAAACAAGAATTGACCATAACCCCCATTCCCCATCTCCCTGCAATGCTGAGGGGGGAGGAGGTAGAACTTGGAAGGAGGGAGGGATGGAGGGAGGTGTTTTTAAGATTTATTTTACTTCTCATTCTCCTGCTCTGATTCTGTTAGTAATAAATGTAATCAATATCCCCACTTTGAGTCTGTGATCCCCACATCATGACAGTGATCAGGAAGTGCTCTCTCCCAGTCCTTAACTCATGAAACTTTTGTTATATATATATGCAAGAACAACTTCACCTACTAATGAGATGAGGAGCCATATATAGAAAGAAAACTAAATAATTTTTTATTTTAGGATTATTTTGTCCTCAGGTTACAAATGTTGACATGCTAAATGATGAAATGGCAATTGTCTATGCTGAATATACATCACTTAAGATTTAATTTTTTGAGATATAAGTTTAAGCACTTCCATCCTTTCTGAAAAGCATCACAGAAAACACAGCTCATGCAGATAAGCAGTTGCGGTATATTAGAAACAGGGAAATTTTCAGTGATCGTTTAACAACTATTATTGTGTCTATACAGGACATGTAAATAAAACATAAATTGTAAAATTAGAATAACTTGTGCTTTGTAGCACATTCTTAATACTCCTGTTATATTAATAATTATACCATTTGAAAATACACCACAAAATATTTCCACTGTAGAATAAAATCAAAGAGATACAAACATTTTAGAGTAAGCTAGCTGTTTGCTTGATTCCATTGAGGAAAAGGGAGATGTTACATAAATTGGAGCTTAATCTATTAAAAGCTTCTTGTGAAGTTAAGCTTAGATTTTAATTTCATAACTTAATAAAAAATTCATTTGAAAGACAGTATTGAGGCTTCTCACATACTGACATATTCCAGGTCATACTAATAACATAAAAACAGTGTTTATCTGCTCAGTGTTAGAACTGAATGCTTAAGAGTTCAGAATTATTTTAAGACAAAAATGAGAATGCACCCTTTTGTTTTAAAGTGCTTCATTTATAGTGATTTTGACATAACCTTTCAGATCCAATCATATAATGGATGCCATGTACTATACCTTAAACGTAGAAAGTCCATAAAGTCTTGCAGTGTGAACAGTCAGCTGTGAAATATTTGTAATGTTTGATATAAAATCCTCAAGGTATTTACAGGCTTGTTCCAAGTGTGTTGTGTTTATGATGATTTGAACAAGCTACAAGAGACAAAAAATTTTTGTATCATTCATTGTCATTTGATTTTGTAAATGGTAAGAGTCTTAGAATATAGGTTTTAAAACTTACCTCTGTTAAACCTATATGAGGTTTTTTAATTAGATTCTGTAAACAACTACTTAGGGTTCTTGTAAGCAGCAAATTTGTAGATTTTCTGAGCATATCATCTATTTCTGTTGAGCTGAAAAGAAAGGTTTATTTTTATTACTATGCTGTGCATGGCAATATTTTGACAGCAATACTTAATAATTTTAATTTTTTCCCTGCAAAGGGAACTTTTCATGTTAAGAATTCCCTACGTGCATTTAAATTCTGGTTGCTGCAAGTCTTCTGTGATCTAACAGACAGAACACCTCTTTTACTTACCAAATATCCATTAACTGAATTTCAAGACTGAAGCAAAATCTGTTATTTTTAGATTTTGGACATGTTTATTGACACAGCAGTTCGTAAAGAGTAATTTGTGGGTTTTAATGAGTTACTAAGGAGGTCAACATGTGCTCATTAGTACGTGTAAATTATAAACAGTATCAATTAAGAATGTGTGAAAGGGAGTAATTTACATCTTTAACAGTGCAGAAGTGGGTGACGGCCACAAATACCTTCCAGATTTCAGATCTATTAATTCTATTTTATGTAATTAAAACTAAGCTTTTGAAAGCCAGAAGAGGAAAGGAAATGGGTCAGAAAAAGGTGGGATAGAAGAGGGAAAGAGATGCAGACACCACATTTTGTTTCAGGAAAAATAATTGCTAAGGAAACTCAAATCACTGAGAAGGGAAAGACTCGTAAATAATCAGGGACACTAAACAATTGTTTCTGAAATGGTCAGTATCAAAGTATACGTTTCAATCTTTACATGCTATGTTAAATAAATAAATTCCCTAGATTATTCAAACCAGTCAATACTGTTTAAAAACCCCAGCAGTCCTTTAGACTGCTTACCATACGCAGCTACTTTCACCCATACACATATTGTAAGGCATATATATACATGAAATATATACTATAGCATTGGGAATCATAGAAAAATACAAACAATTATATATGCAAATTATGAAACAAGCACAGGAAGCAAGTACACAAGAACATGTATTTTCATTTTAGTATATATGTTTGGGTCACCTGAAAGTTACAGGTTACCTTACAGTCACATTCCTGATACTTCAAGCTCACCTGCGGTGAAGTGACTCCGAAAACTTAAGGCTTGCGTAAATAAATTCCTTGACCTGCATATAAATCTGAGGCACTGACTGAGACATTGGAAGCTTCTTTGGAAAGGACTGCTGTGAAAATAAAAGATCACACTATCTTACACCTGAAACTGATTCCAAGAGAGCTTGGTACTAAACCCAACAATTAGAAAGCCACTTAACACTATCAACATTTTAATCTATCTTAGCATTTTGTGCTTTTCATCAAATACAAACACTGGTATGCATTGAGCTAACTTCTAGATCTGTTTGAATGGTTTATAAGCAAAATAGAATTTTATCACTTCTTTAAACTACACTGAAGTTTGGAGACTATTTAATTTAAGATTCCCCTGTAGAAAGCAATTTACAAAAATACATTAAAAAATAGGTCTTAAACTTTTTAATCTGAATGAACAAGATAGAAGTCAATGGGATAAGAGGTTCAAAAATGAAAACATTCTTCTTCGAAATAAAGAAGTGCAAAAACAAGTTTGAGAAGTTCAATACTTCCAGGATTTTCCAAGTATCTTGGGAATGCTTAGACATTCTTTTTTTGATGGTTCACAAAACCAAAGCAGTTTGAATTATTTTCAGGAATCTGGATTAACATGCAGGAAATACCATATTCTGTAATAATAAAATCATGCTTCTTACTTCAATTTTAAAGCTGATATTGTATTTAGGAGAACAAAAATAAACATATTCAATTGAATCTACAGATACCAAATAGGTAATTCTGCATTGAATAGAGAATTTTTGAAATCTGCAAAAAAATTTACTTTTCTGTTTACTCTATTTACTCACTCTGACTAGTGCATGAGAAAAATAATCAACTGGTATCATCCCTGAAGAATTCAATTTCTCTTAAAAAAAAGGCATCAATCAACAACAGCTCAACTTCTTTATTAAAAAAAAAACAAGGTAAAACAGATTACCCTGACATTCTCCTAAACCATACTCTTATCTAAGATTAGGCAGTCTGACAAATATGTGATGTAAGCCAGGCTTTTGCGCCAACAAATAACAATAGCAAACATTTTTTAACAATAAAATTTACTTCAAATATGTGTTTATCTGATTTAAGAAATTAATTTTTACAAATAAAACAAATGCTACTACATACAACTATCTCAGCTCATCACAATATTCTGTCAGCAGGACTTGAGTTTCCATCTTCCTATATTCAAAGATTTGCAGTTCTTTATCCTCTACAGTATCTGGCCAATACAGGAGGACACACCACTTTTTATTTGATCATTAGAGCAGGAAGCAAGGGAAAAAACCCAATAGAGCTACAACCAATTGTTTCACTTCTGAATACAGAACAAGGAATAAAATTAAATTATATAATCAAACCATGATAGTTTGCCATAATCGATCTAAACAGTAGAGTACAGACAACACTATTTTGTTCAGTCAGATTGGATTTATGTTAAATAAATGTTAAATATCTATATTATCTATTTATGCTATGTTAAATATCTAATAGATTGTGGTCATAATTCTGCCTAATGTGCTGTAAGCACCTCTTATAAACTTACCTGTAAAATGTGAGGATGCTTCATCCTAACCTACAGTTAAAAATGAGACACAAGCTCACGTTTGTCTCTTTTTATAATAAATTGAGAGAAACAGACATTTTCAAAGGTGAAATTTCCTTTAATCTGTAAAAGGCACCAGAGATGCATCAAGTGGACTTAGTCCTCTGGGGTGTCTATTTCTATCAACTACATAGGTTCCTTCAGTGACTAGCCTGAACTTATACATCTTTATTTTATTATTTTCAACATCGAAATGTAGATTAAATTAACCCTCACAACACGATCTCCCGGTGTCTTACAGTCTGAAATAACAACAGAGAGGTATCAAGTGGATGCAATTATAAACAGTAATCAAGAGAAGTGATGTTGGAGCATTTATAAAGTTTCCCCTCGGTTTGGATCCCCTGCTACCTAATAACACACAAGGTAACACTGTAGTCTTTCAACAAGGATACTTAACGAATCTTTCTCCTCTCTTTTCCTGTCTAGTCAACAAAACTTTTACCAACTCAAATTATCACAGAGACTTCTGCCCCTTCACTACATTTGATTGAAGTAAACTAAATTGATTCAAAAATTGCTAGGACACACAAAAAACCCCACCAGTCTTATTTCTAATTACATACAGGTTTCAAAGCTCTTTTCAGAGATACATTAAAAAAAGTTTTCCCTCCTTTAAAGATGAATTAACAGTGACAGAGAGATGTGAAGTGACTACTAGCACCAGGCAGCTGGTTAATGATAGAGTTGAGAACAGAATCCAACCTGATTCCCAGCTTTACTCTCAAGCTCATGAGCCCAAAAACTAAGAATCAGTGAGATTCTGCCTGTAAAATATCTCCATAAGTGCTGCTCACAATGAAATAGAAACAACTCTCTGTATCATAAACCAGACTAAAAATTTTTGAGTACAGAGAATACATTTCCCTTTTGGTGAAAAAAAAAAAAAAGCCAAAGCTGTGTATTAATCATACATATATGTAACTAGAAGATAAAATTATCTAGTACAAATTAAACATTTCCTCAATTATTAGCAAAATATGTTATTCCGTTTATCTTATTTGAGTATTATAATGGCTAAGTAAATGAATTTGATGGAGGAAAGCATCCAGGAAGCCCTCTGGAGTCTCATTCAAAAATCAGCATAAAAACCTACTTTAGTTTTTCATCTTCACTGTATTAATGACAGGCAGCTGTATTAATGACACTGTATTAATGACAGGCAGCTGTTACATTTGCCTGGCAAATCCCTGCTGAACCACAAACTTAGAATAGCTTTTTACTTTAGCAGGTATCTGTAGCAATGGATTGTGTATAAAACAGCTTTCCCCTACAACAGTTACTCCCACCATCAGGTTGTTCTTAGATTTAGTTCTTCTCTACAGACTCCATCATGAGCCTCTTAGTTCTTTATTGGTATTACCAAAACCATACTTGAATAGCAAAATATATTAATCACCTTTCTGTGAAAAGAGTTTGTAGTGAAAGAATGGCTGAGGCTACAAAAGGACATCCTACTGGAATGCTACTACAGCAGAATTATTTACAGTCTCTTCATGTTTATTTTGCCCCCCACAAAAAATAATTAAACTTAAAAGTGAAATAAAAAAGTCGCTGTCTCTGATCCCTGTTCTACATGTATTTTTGTAACACTACAGCATATATTGAGTTACTAAACCCAATGAGTTGCAACAAAATTTAACTAATTAAAGACAGATTGTATTATCATTACATAAAGACTTTATCAATTAAACCATATTATTAATCTGTTTACAAAACAATGGGTTTCATTATTCACTCAAACATCAGAGCAAATGACTAAAGCTTTCATTTTCATATTTATTTATGACTAGATAATTATGCACAAAGAAGGTGATTTAGCCTCTTAATCTACCTAGCTTTTCAAAGTTTAATTGCTTTTTAATTATAAAAATCATTACTGTCCCAAGTGTCCTTAATTGGATTTCCACAAACTTGAATAACATAAAACTTCTCCTTACCTTATCAAGTTCTGGATCTTGAAAAGGAAATTTGCTTATGACTATTTTGTATTCCTCTTCATTTGCTACAGGAATAGGGCTGTAGTTGTCTGCTTCAAAAATATCCCTGATGAATTAGCAAAGTGAAAAAAAAATTGGACATGTAACTTATAGTATTTTCTGATGTTAAAACATGTAAATGAATATAAATTTTACTACCACATTTATGTGTGCATCTTCAAGAAGTTTTAAGAATTTAGCACATCCCAAATATTACTTTGAAAGTACCTCATATATGCTAACTCTTTATCATGTGTCTAATCACAGAGAAAAAAATACTTAGAAGTGTTTTAATATGTGCATAATACATCAAAGGAACCTTAGATCAACTAGTCCACTCCAGAGTAAACCATAATAGAGTTATTAATTACGGTAACCCACAGCTTCCTACACTAAAGCCGATATTCCGAGGGTCTCACCTGGGCACCAGAGCTACATTCAGCCAGCGGAGATGATTCAGAACTCAACCAGGCCTATGGCACAGCACAGTTTGAGTGCCCTCTGGACTTCCCTACTAGTCAAATGACCATATTAGAAGAGTGGGGAGCTCAAGAACCTTAAGTGGTCAATTTAACGTTAAGGTTTTCTGTAATACAATGTAACATACTTTATGGTAAACAATTTATGCACATTTAGACATCACGCCCTATCTACAAATACGCTTTGGAGTACAGTCTCAGACCAATGTATTCCTGGGTTTAAAATTTACTCAATCAAAGGATTCCAAGGAATAGGTGGAAATTAATGTGCATTAAAAAACATGAAGACATACTGGTAATATCAGTAGTTTGTCAGGGAGATATGCATATCAGCTAACTGTAAACATTAAGACTAGATAAATTAGGAACCTAAAGCCCTGTTGCAATAGATTAGAATTATTAGGTTCCTAATGAAGAGAAACAGATGCCTCTCTCCTGCATGTTTCTCCAGTAATGTCCCTTTGGAGACCTTCCTTTTCTCCATTAACTATAGAAGTAGTATTTGATGTCTCTTTCCCTAAACATTAGTCACATGTGATGAATATCTCCAAACTGAATATATATCCAAACTGAAATTCATACACAACACTTGAGTTAATAAATTCTTCCAGAATTATAACTATCTCATAAAAACTTGAAGCTAGACAAAAACAATAGATGCAATACAAAAGACACTATTATTTTGATATACTAACCTGAACAATCCAGACCACTTTTTAAGAAGCGTTTCATTGTACTGGTCTCTTATCTCGAATAAAAGATCAAATAGTCGGTTCACAGGAAAACCATAGCCCTAAAGTATAAAAATAAAGGGGGGATAGTTCAAGAACTAATACATTCAACTACTATCGTAGCACTTCAGGACTCTGAGATGGGACTTATTATTCAGTCTTGTCACTTCTATAAAATAAATTGTAGTACTTTAAGCACACGACTGTAAGTTTATATATTAAATTTTTACCAAATAATTTATCCTATGCCTTTGGAAATTTGCCCCATTTCTCTTTGTTAAACATTGCAAGAATACTTGCCAATGATGTTCACCTGGTCTCTCATCTAAGGAATTAACGATAACTGGAATGCTATTCTTGTTTAAGATGAGACATAAAGTATTTGTAAAAGACAAAAATGTACACAAAATTACAAAACACTAATTTTGCACAGATATGAATAACTGATGCTAGCTGGATAGCCCAGAATGCATACATTCAGTTTATAATATTGAAAAGGAGGAACTAAGGCAAGAAATACATATATTTTTAAACACTACTGTGTAATTTTGGGTTTGATTTGCATATATGATTCATGAAAACACAAACATTGCACTTACATAAAGTTAAAATTTGACTACAGGAATTTCAGTTAAAATAGTAATACAGTACGTACCTGTAAAGTATCAGCAAATACTACAATGAGATTCTTCAATTCCAGAACAAGATCAGGATCAGTGCAATATGACTGAAAGCGAGAAATTCTGGTTTTGTTAAAAGGATTTCAAATATGAGACATGTATTTTCAAAGAATAGTAGTACAGGTTAAACTCTCCAGCCTTAGTAAAAAAACTAGACTCACTTGTCCTTACTTAGTCCAGCTACATAAAAGTATTTGTTAAATTTTCATATGAGTTATAAATAGTATAAAAGTTCAGAAAAAGTAAACTAAATTATGAGATTCAATATCAGTATGGTGTACTGAGACTGAAAATCAGCAAATTACATTTATTTCAGTGGAACATAAGCACACTTTGCTAAATCAGTATCAGAGAGGTTCCATAGGACACTCTTTTGACCACCAAGCCCAGGTCTAACTAATGCTGAGTCACCTCAGTTTCCCAGCTGTATGGGTAACACTCTATAAAATACTTCCTGAACAAGCTCAAAGTTAAATTTGATGGTAAAAAGGTCAAGACGTAAGTTATTTACTAAATAACTGTAATCTGATTTTCAGAGGTGCAAAGTCACACAACTAAGGCTTTCACCTCAGCTTCACTATTTGCAATACTGGACAAAGTAAAAAAATATTCCCATTAAAATAATTTGAAGCAGCATGAGAATATAGTTTTGGTTAAAGATTACATACACCTGTTTCACCTTTCTTGAAATTTTGCTCCTAGCATACTTTCTTAAAGTAAGGGTTTGGTTTATTTATCTAAATATTATTCTACAGTAGGACAATGTTAGATTTTGATAGAATTGGGTTTGATGGGAGTCATGCATTTTGAGAAGAAATAGTGATGAAGTATTTTGAAGAGTTCTTTAGAGATGACATTACTTTTAACCCTTAAATTATCATACATATAAATCCACACACAGACAACTAACTAGCAAAGTATTCATCTTTAAAAATGCTGGATAAATATATCTCAATTTATTGCAATCCACTTAAAAGAATTTAAAAATATGAGAACATCTCACGTACCACTGATCAGTAAAGGTCCTATGATAACTATAGTTGCAACCTGAACTTTTTCTCCATTTTTCCTCAGTATAATTGAAATATCAAATATTCCTTGAGTTAAAGATGAATTGCAATAAAAATAAAAATAACATTGCATAAAGGAGCTAACATTAAAAAGGGAAAGATAAAATTCTTTTCTTCTTTCTGATAGTAAAAGTTCTACCAATAGTAAACTTTGAAGCAATTTACTATCTGTCAGTCTGAGTGAACAATGTGTTTTCCAGTGTTTTTTCACAGAGGAGTAAGAAATAGCTTGCAGTATCACTGCAGCTAAGGTAGAAATAAAACTTTAGGAGATGCACTTCGAATGTACTGAAATACTGAGCTAACATAGAATTTTTCTAATACCTTTTCTTCAACATAAACATAACACTACTATAGCACTGAAGAGAGAGCTCCAAGGGGTTTGCTGGTAGAGTTTATTTTGGAAACATTGCATTTGGAATGATAATTAGGAACTATTTCCTGGTGGTGCTTTCAGTGCTGAACTATTCAATCTGATCTAATGAAGAGGTCAGTTGAGACTAATGAGGAAGGATTGCAATAATAACAGCAGATTAACTCTGCATATTCTAAACTGCTGGACTAAGAGAAGGTTTGGAAGACCCAGTGAGTTGTAAATCAGTGGAGGATTATGCAAATAGCCCATGGCTGCGGATCACAGCCTGATACTGTGGGGAAAAACAAAAGCTTGGCAGGCTCCCTCCCAAATCTGAGCAATTTTTAATCACAAGAAAAATAAAACATGAGATAGGTGTAATTTTTCACTTTGTTGCTATCCCAGCCTTAAATACACAGAGCCCTGAAGTAAGAGGATTTAAACTGATAAGACTTCTCACTTACTGAATGTGTTCTAAGAACAGCAACGATCTTGGAAAGGGCCATGTTCCAGAGTTCATCAGTATATGTTCTAGTTACCAATCCTTGGGTTACATGTAAAATGTGGTCTTCTACTACAAAGAAACTAAAACAAAACAATGCTTATATTATTCAGTTGTTTTCTAATATTAGAGTAAATTCTACTCTTCACACACAAGCATAGTCAAACCCTTCCCCACTGGAGCAGTGACACATGGGTAGGTTTGGTGTTCAATTTTGCCCAGAATGAAGTCAAAATGTGAAACAGTTTGTTTCATGCCATCTGGAATCCAGGATTCTGAAGTGTCCTTGTAGGGCACAGGGCTGGTAGGATACGGATGCTCCTCTCTACTCAGATTCAGCAACAATCACCCACATGATTTGTGCAGTAACTGAATCTTGCAGAAGGAAGTCTTCAGACAATGAGAGAACACAGAGTGAATAAAGCATCAACAGATTAAAACTGAAATAAATTTTTATTTATAAAACTTACCCTACAATTTGGCTGAAGTATCTTCTATAGCCTTCTACTGTTTCATGCTTTCAGTGAAAAAGGAAACAAGTTTAGAAATAAAAATACCACTAGGCATTAGCTACAACTTAAGTCAATGCAAAAAAAATAAAAATTGATTACCATGCTTGACTGTGGCTGCAGAACTAATCGTGCTTGTTTCCTTCTTTGTTTTCTGTAGTAATTTTCAAATATTTCTCCATCACCCTAAAAATAAGAATAAAAAGTAGTTAAAACAAGAACATTGTTTCAGTATGAAAAAGGCACTTTTTAATTTCAGGGTAGAATTCTCTTAAACTCAGCCCATATTTTGCATTTATTCCATATATAAACCTCCAGCTGTCAGCAGCAAAGTTTTGCATGAATGAAATATGCAGAAATTACCTTTTCCTATAAAGTAGCCAACAGCCTGTACTGTAAGTAGAAATTTTGCTCGTGCCTACATTTTGTCAAGCAATATGGATTTTAAACAGTATGTCTGTTTTTCAACTACAGCTTTCAGAGTATACTAATATTTATAGATAAGGTATATTAGCTATTACTCTATAACTGAAACTCATCCTCTCCTAAAATATTTCTCTAGGTTATTCAAGAAAGTAACTACATTGTTACAAAAATTTTTCTCTGAATATATGACACATCTGAACACTGTCTGCACTGGTTTTACCTAAGAAAAAACAAATATGAGTTTTATCGAATATTTCCTTATTCTCTTTGGATTTATAATGAGTGTGGACTCGGATTTTTCTCTTATCATGATCCTCAAAAATACAAAACCCTCTGTGCCTAAAGATTATACTGTGAGGAATTCAAGTGACATCCTACTTATCTCATTAAGATGACCAGTCAGTAGAAACCATCTGTCCATTTGAAATCAGTGCTACATTGACTCATCATCTACCTACTGAACCCCAAGTAATTGGTCTGCAAGCAGAATAACACAGCTTAGCATTTTTAAGGTTTGTTTTTACTTTATGAGCCTATTATTAGGCCAGTACTATTTAGAATTCCCTTACTTGGTCTTCCAAAAAATCTCCAAATCAAATTATTAGACATTTTATACTACTAAGCCAACGTTACTTACCTAACTCCCTTATAAGATATAACAAAGAAAGTTTACATTTAGATCATAATGAATACTTCATCATATTTAGAAATAATGCTAACCTAAAAAAATCTCAAAGTAACAGAGAGAATTATCTTAAAAACAAAAAAAAAATCCATTTGAAACCAAGATGCAAATGTATTAGAACACTGTTTGTCGCAGCAGAACTTTACACAGTGTGCTCTAATTCATACAAACACATACTGATCAGACACACTAACCATTCATCTCCAGCCCAAATATTCAATGCAGTTGTCAGATTGTTGACTTCTACTGTCAGTGTCAAATCTCTACCCAGTCCTGACACAAGCTTCTCAAGTGAAAAGGGTAGCTGCTCTTCTCAAATCCACACCACAAGTGGAGATGTAAAATATCTTACCATTATTTACAGATCATGCTATACTATGCAGTCAAGATCAACAATTCAGGGATAACAACGGTCTGAAACAGATGTGCTAAAGCAATCAGCAGAATATAGTAACAACCTTGATGATTCACTAACTGAATAAGCAAAGCCTAGGCGAGATAAAATATGCCAAAGCAAAGCATTTGTTTTGCCCAGTTTCCAAAAATTCATGAGTTTATATCAACAGAGACAATAAATCAGTTCATGTCTGGCTATAAATTCTAGGAATATTGCTAATATATCAAGTGCTGTTTCACTACATAGATACATTTATTTAACACTGATACTGCGTTTCACTAAAAGGTAACATTACATGCCTAAGGGATAAGGGTATTTTCACCAGAATTTAAATAGACAGCATAGATCTTTATGTATATTGCTCAGAAGTTTCTAGTCTAAAGAAAGGTTACTCGTCAATAAATACAGTCTACGTTTGGTATGTATTTATCTTGTCATCACTAGGTTGGAATCCCAAGCTATGTAGTATCCTGAGGTATATAAAAATTGTGCTTTATTCTTCAATATGAAGAAGCAGAGTAAAAAACTTCAGTCCTTCATAAAAACAGAATATTTTCTACAATTTTGTAGCAGAGATAGGATTCATTAAGACCATAACATTTGCTGCGAGGTAAGTCCTTGTTATAGAAATGTAATGAATAGCCACCTGGTATCAACTCCCCTCCTCTGCTGTCATCATTAAATTCTCTAAACTCAAAAGGGATGGTTTGCAACACACGATAAATGAGAACTCCAAGAAGTGGTTAATGCACAGCTAATTAGATGATGTTAGCAGGAAATCCAGAAGTCCTGTCCTGAAGACAGTAACAACCCTTTCCAATGTCAGAGAGCACTCCAACTTGTTTTCTGTCTCCCGTAAATTTGGAACTTGGTAAAGTTGCTGTGCAAACCCAAAAAGCATATTCTTGGATCAAAGATCCAACACTGGGATCCTTGTCAAAGTGAAAAACATAATTATGTATCACTTTTAAATGCCATCTATCGACTTTATTTTCTGTTCCTTTATTATACTAAAGAAAGAATAAGCAGATGTTGTCTGGTATGTTTAACTTTACACATTCTTTTTTATGTTATTTCACACTTTGTTTTCTGTAAGAAGAAATAGTCCACTCTTTCAATAGCTTTGGCAGCCTGTCTTTCTGTCCCTCCTGATCTTTCATTGAGATGAATAATTACTGACAGTTTTGTTTGGATTCCTTCCTTAAAAAAAAAGGTAACAGTGAAATAACATTCTAACCAGTTTTTCAATATATAAGCTTTCATGTAACACAGCTGCAAGGATTCCATAAAAAGAAGATAACCCAGCCCAAATGCTTGAAACCAGTCCAGCTGAGATTGTAGGATTACCAATACTCACAGGTACATCATCTTGACTTAAGTCATTGATACTTATATTCTATGAGAAATTTGACTTCAAAAGTAATTGAGACATAGGAAAGATGAGAAAATAACAAATAATTTGGTAGCATGTTTCCCAAAAAAAGTTTTCATCCTTGTCAGTTCATGAACTGAATCTCTTTTACAGAAATTAAAATAGGCTACTGTGTCTCTGCCATCAAATCCTATTTAATCTGCCTGAACACAGTGTCAGAATCCCCAGGTTTTGTTTTCTATTTTTCTCTACTGTTCTGATTTCCACAATATTAAGAATGAATATTGCTATGTTTTGTAATATTGATCCAAACATTTGGGTAACACAGAACACTTGCAGGAACTGCAGAAGTATCAATAGCAGTATTGAGGTAAACATGCATATTTTACATATATACTTAAAAACACTTAGGTAATTAACATCTTACTGTGTCCTTTATTATGCATATAAAACATGGGAGTCATGCCTGTGTATCCCTACTCTACCAATCTCAGCTGGTTCATCCAGGAGTACTAATCCTAGAAGCAATATGCTTGCATGTTTGGGAACTATTAAGAGTGTGAAAAATGTGAAAATGAATATTCAACTACAAAAATTTAAATATCCTTTTGAGGTGACCTTAATACATACCAAAACTGAGTAGATGTGCAAACACCTATAGACTGGAGAAAAGTCTACAAGATCTTGGGCTGTCAAAACCTGAAGAAGGAAAGGACAAAGAGGAGTATATAAAACATAAAAAATATATAATTTGCAAAATGTGATATATTGCCAACAGAACTTGCCTATGTAAGAAGGACTCAAAAATGGATGGTTTCTATCACAAAACAATAAATCAATTGCTTGAATCTCTCTTCCCTTTGTACTACAAGTACTATATTTTATTTACGTCACACCACCAGACTCCTTTCTCTGTTTCAAAGTATCAGATTTAAAGGTCTAAATACTCACTGTTTCATTCAGTTTAGGAATAGCAAGTATTTGACAGATGAAAAAGTTCTAACTCAAGCTCACGTCCTCAACACCAAAAGGTTGGCTTTAGCAATAGTAGAATATTCCAGTGGGCCACATACCATTTACAGTGGGCAGGTAATGCATAATACCAATTGCAACTGAATTCCAGAATAATTGCAAGCTCTGTCAATCTGAATGTCCTCAAACATGATCCTAAAGCTAGCATTAATACAAATAATATTTTGGTCCTATTCTTTCACCCTAAAATGCTGCTCTGGACTGGTGTCCCTTGAAGGTGTTCTGTGATTCTTCATAACTAACAATTACCACGTACAGACAGGGTACTGCAAGTTTTGTTAAATAAACCTAAAAAATTCACTTTAAACAAGATGTACTGATTTAGAACAAAGTTACCTCGTCTTCATGTTCATCATCATCTTCAAATGTTCGCTTCAATGTCATTTCATTCTTGGATTCTGAAATTCTGCTTCTACCTAAATGCATATTCCGACCATAGTTTACATTATTCTGCTTCTGAAGAGTGGTACTAAAGGTCTTCTGTTGCTGTGCCTGTTTTAAGAGTAGAATCAATAAGGAGGGATATAATTCAAATTTCACCATTGATGAGCGTACGCTAGGACATGAAAAACAGGTGGTGCCATTGAATACACACCAGTATAACTGCAAGATGAGTGCCCTCAGCCTACACCAATGATTTTGCCTTTAATCAATCTGGGATGATAAATGAGTTCAATAGTGAATTCTGCAGTTTTTCCTTAACCTCCAGAATATAATTTTAAAGGTAGAAAAAATAAAATAAGCAATCTGTAATTTTCCTGATCATAAATTGCAAACAGAGAATCAACATTTAAATGAACTACAGTTATCACAGAGTTTCCAACTATTTGTTTTCTGTCTTCAGTTAAGTCTAAGTGAGCAGTCGGATGCAGAAGACAAAGGCATTATATTGTCCTCGCTATTAAAAGAAATGCAACGAAGTAACACGGCACAATCTTGCAATTAAATTTCATTTATAATAATCAATGCAGCATTCTACAAGAACCCTAGATGACAAAGTGGCAACCCAACCTGAATTCTCTCCAACAAGAAGCGAAATGAAAACTTTATTTGCTCTGAATAATTTTAGAAGTATTAACTGATTTAAAGCTTGCCCAGTACCAGTGCTTTAAAGAGGTAGATTATTTTGTGATGGAATATGCAAGGCCTCCAGCTGTCTCAGTCTCCCCCTGGCTTTACTTCAGTCTTCTGTATTAGTAGTATTTTAGAGAGAACTAGGTAGTATCTCAACACTTCTTTTAGTCTAATTCATCCTTGTCATCTGGCCAGATAGGCTGCTCTTTGTTTTGGTGCAGTAGCTGCTGAGCTACAGATTGTCCAGGAGTTGACTACTCAAAGTTTCTCACAATTTTTTGAAACTTGAGATATACAGCATTTCTCCTTCCTTTCCCAGGGAGGAAACTACTTCTTGTCTAGGACACAGACAGAAACCACACAAGATGTTAGCAAGCTCTCCATCTTTACTTAGAGGCCTATGTGATAACTATAACACTTGGGCAAATCTTTTGGGATAATTCAACACTGAAATTTTCACTAAACAACAGGACTGAAATCATCCTGTTATGTCGGCTTACCTGCTTCATGGCAGTCTCCCCAATTCTGTCAGAATGCTTTCGAATACTTTCTAAGAAATCTTTTAGATCTGACATGGATATTTCTTTTATTTCTTCACGCAGTTTTGGAAGATTTTCTATCATTATCTGGCAAAACCGATATTGGCTAACTCTAGGAAGATATAGATTTTCAAGCTGTTCCATTGTTTTTAAAGCAGAATAGTATCTATAAAGAAATTAAAATAAAATTATGTAGCTTATAAAAACTTCATAAAATAATTTATCAAATATAGAATATCAATATCACACATGCAATCAATATGCATCTAATGAAATTACTCTGTTATTAGAAAAAGTAAGAATCAAAACGCCATCCATATAATGCTTTAGTTTGGAAAAAGACAGTGAACTGCCAGAGTGACTCAGTCAAGTAAAAATTTTAAGTAGGCTCCTCTGGTATTAGCTGTTCTGATCAATAGAGTCTCAACACCACATGGAGCATCCTGCAGAATGGAGACACTACAGTCACAACCTTTATCTACCCTTCTAGATTGAATTGGTTAGGGTTTTTTATTAATTTGATTTTTTTTCTGAAACACAAATTGCCAATTACCCAACATTGCAATATGTGCACCAAACAATGAGAAAAATCTCGAAAAAGCATGCCTGTATGTATCTGCCATCTTTAGGTATATGTGAACACGTACTCACCTACACCCACCCTCTTTCCACCATCCTTAGTCAGAAAACACATGTATACATGAGTAAACAGTTTCAAACTGAAATACAATTCAAGCTTCTGGTTTCCTTCAGTAGACAAGCAATAACAAATTACTAATACTAGAGTCACGACTTCTTGTTCAATTCTGAAATTAACACAATGTTTTGAATTTTCTCAATCGAGACATTTCTAAGCTAACGATTCAGCATAGATGGAGGACGGGAAAAATCTTTCTTTTATTCCAGAACAGAACAGCTTTCAGAAGACTGCAAATAAAGAGATTTCAAGTGTAAATTAGGAGCTTTAGTTTATTATATACTTGGTTTATATAAAATATACATAAGGTGACGGGAATGTTGCACATAAGAAAAGGTCTGGGGGGTTTATGTGTGTGGTTTTTGTTTTGTTTTAAATAGCAAATGACCGAGAGTGCCACATGGTGAGACTTCTGGGGAATAAAACCATAATAGCGTCAAAATCGTATAAAAGGTTTTTATTTAAATTATACGGCTCAGCTTATCAGAACACTGTTAGTTCATCTGGAAGGTTTTTGACTGTTGTCTCTAAGATCAGAATTAACATAATCCATTTTAAATCCATTCTAGAGTCCCTTACTAATTATACATATATGGAGCTCAGGACCTTGCTCTTTTAACATCTGTTCTGATAAAGCACCGAAGTCTTATTAATTTGAAGGTCATCTGCAGGTCAGGTTTTAAATTAAAAAGTTTTGCATATCATTTCATAGAATTATGTACTTGGATATTTTGATTTTAAAACATTCCACAGATTTAATTAAATACCGAAGATTTTGCAACAATATTATTAGTTCCTACCCCATATTATCAATCATATAAGGTGAAGATTGACCATTTGACTACAAATGAGTCAAAGTATCTTCAAAGTTATTTTTTTCATATAAATAGGGTATTCTTCTGTCTATTCTTTTGAGCTAATCTTGTAAGAATATTCTCCTCAATGCAAAATATATAATGTAAGCTTTGAAACTGAAGACACAAGTTTGAAACACCAATAGAAGTCATATGATAAGACTGTGCAGAACTTATCCATCTCATCATCAGAACCAGAAAACTGTAGGATGGACTTTACTAATATCTCCAAACTATAAAAATGGAGCCTTCTAAAACTAGCAAGAAGGAGGTCTGGAAAGTCAAAACAAACACACAAAAATAAATCAAATACCCACAACAAACAAACACCTTCCCCCAAGGATCAATATTAGTGTTTCACATCATGTTATTCTTTACAAAATGTCCCAGGCACAGAGTAGTCAGGTCTGTATAGAATTTGAAACATCAACACACAAAAAAGCCAAAATTAAAATAAAATTACCATTACATTAGTGTACACAAAGTATTCATTTATGTTTCAAATAACAGAGAGAACTTTTAAGATTTTTATCAGCAGAGTGTCTTTGGAGGCAGTTAAGAGAAATAGCATAACTTACTAAAAAAGCCTCATCAAGTTAAACTACAGTGGTCAAGAAGTTACATAGAACAAGAGCAAGATCAATTCAAAGACTGAATTTTACTGAGAATAATTTATTTGTACACAAGTCTATTGAGTAAAGAAAAGTGCAGTTATATCACAAAATTTCCTGCTAAAAAAACGAGACAAAATTCTCATTTTATTTTAATTAAGGAAACAAACTTAGTTTGAAAAAAAACCAGTAGTGTTCTCCAACTTTTGTGCTTCTCTTAGAGGCAAATACTGCATATTCCTGCTTACTACATTTCCAGTGAGTAAATATGAAAAAATTTTCTACCAAACACATTTGGTAGAAGAGAGTTCCTTGGAATTTTTCAATAATACTACAGAAAAGTCACATTCACAGAGATCCTGAAGATGATATATTGAAATTGCAACCGAAATCTTTTTACCACAGGAACAAGTATTTATTCTGTTTCTACATCTAGCTGCCTTAACAACTCTAAACCTCATTTTTAAACTTCCCCAGTATACCAATTTTATCAGTTTCCCCAAAAGGATCATGAACTGAGATCAAGGCACTACTAACTCTGAAACTTCTGTAAAGTGAATCAATATTTCTGCATATCAGATATGAGTTGCTGTGTGGAAAAGAAAAAACAAAACAATATCTGTAGAATACCTTTTTTGTCAATAATCATGTGGTAGGAAATTTTTTTAAAAACAGAAATTATCGAACTAATAAGGTTCAGTGTTGTCCATCCCCAACACTGAAACTGGTGACAAAGAAAGCAGCTGACAGTTCAGTAGCAAATATATATTTTGATGAGGTTTTTTGCCAGATCCATGGTACCTCTGGGAAGTATTGATTTGCAGCTGGTAAAAGCCAGTGCTTCATTTTGACACGGTTCCAACACAATGCAGAAAAAACCCAAACAAAGTACCATGGTTTTATCTGTTCTGATATCTTTCCATACACACATGGGTAGAACCAAATCATATGAAATATTAACTTCTCATATTTGCATCCTTTATGTCTTAAGGTTTATTTGGACGCTTGGAGGGTTTACAGAGAAAGGCTGCATAACTGTCTCAGTGAGATTCAGTAACCTAAATAACTAATCAACTTTGTCTTTCCCACAGTTCGGAAGAAAGCTTACAGTAAGGTCAAAAAAACCAAATCCAAGTCTTTCAGGGCAAAGAGCTCACTCAGAAAATTATACTCATTCTTTAGTCCATCTCACAGTAGATTCGAGAAGATTAAGCAACTACCTTAGCAGAATGACTTATTTAATTATTTTTGTTGCATGGTGGGTTTGGGCTTTTTGTAATACTGTGGAAAAAGACTTGCAAAAACACCAGTTCTAACAATTCCCACACTTCGACCACAGTCACTTGAAACAGCTGGGAACTTTCTCCCAAGATACATACCACAATCCAAACGCTAAGGCCATGGTAACAGAGCTGTATGAAATGTGGAATGATCTTACCTGTGACTAAAAATTAAAGATCAAGGTAGTTCAGTCTCAGTGCATAGCCCCCACTAGGCGGTTTGGAGAGCAGTGAAGAAACCACACCTCTCCTTTGTGTTTCCTCAGTTAAGACTTTAAACCCTCCATGACTCTTTCCAGTCAACTGTGTCTGTTTAGAGCAGATTCTGCAGTCACTTCCTCTCACAACTACAGTTCTTGTCAACTTGTGTTATCCATGGCTCAGGAGACAGATAAATAGGATACAGAGCCTTTCACCTCTAGGTCATCAGTTCAAACATAACCCACGTTGGTAAGGACCAAAAGTTGCTACCAATAGATGGCTTTTGGGACTCCTCTGTAAACCTCCATTCCTTCTACAAACCAATATGTATTCCAGACCCAAAATCCTACATTGTCTTAAAAGAGGTCTGCCATGGAGAAAAGGAGATGAAATTCTAATCTTTATCCTATAACAACTATTCCCCAAACATATCTAATACCCATACTTTCGCCTTCTCTTACTTTAAACATTAGAATTGTGAGTTTTATTCATGGTGTAAGACTGTAAGACAATGGAATAATGAAAACATACTCTAAAAGGCTGCAAGCAGAGAAAGTCAAGATGTCTTTTTATAAAAAAGACCAACAAAAGTTTTGCTGCATTAACAAACCTCAGTGAAGGTTTATGACAAAAATTATCTTTCCCTAAAACAAACATTCCTCGTTGCTTTGTTATGACAGGGATTGTGAATGCTCCTCTCTCTGACTCTTCTAGGAAAGCTTCACAGTAAAACTTAGGAAGATCAGTTTTGAAATTCCTTGTATGTACACACATTGGCTATCAGGTCTTTGCACTGACACTATGAATCTCCTTGCTATTGCTCAATCTCTTAGTAGTGATAAAGGCCAGGATACAGCACACTTCGGATTTGTTGCCTGCTGAGCCACAAAGAAATTACCATTTGAATTACCTGCAAGCTCCATGGGATAGCCACCTGTAGGCTGTATTATAGGGAATTGTAAGTCACAGGCAAAGTAGTAAGTGTAGCACAGCTAATGAAAGAGTTGTCTGAGTCAGAGCAGTAGCCTGAAGCAGAGTCTAAGCCTTCTGCACTCCATGTGATTTCAAGGTATGGTACATCAAAGCTATGGAATCTCCCCTCTCCCTTAGATCTTTTTATGGTATGACAATGACATGTCCAAACCCCTCAATTCGAGTCCTTTGACTTTTAAGACTTCCTGTCTGGTGACTCCTTCCACAGGAAAATTATCAGATCTGAGTATTTTGAAAAATAGAAATTTAGTTCTAGACTTAAAGAGTACCGATGGTTTCTCAGGAAGCACATCAACCATCAGTGGACTCTACAAAACCACTAGCAACTATGAAGTCAAAATGCCAAAAAAGTCATCTGCAATTTTATCTCGCCTAAGTGACCTTTACATGATGACATTAAGAACTATTACTTCCCTTGGAGTTCTAAAACCAGGATGCTGTTTGCCTTGCCTGACAGAGCACAGGAAGGGCAGAATGCAGGCCTTGATCCCAGTGCTTCCAATATTTTCAGCACACTAAATGTAGCACACTCCACAGAAGACCTTGCAAAGGGAAGCAGTGCAATTCAGACACTGTTCAGTCTGTTCTCTGACTGGAGTAGCAAGGGCACTGGACTGTTCATGTCTTTCTGCTGAGCTGCTCCAAGAACACTGCAACAACACGCTGCCAGCTACTCTAAGCAGATGCCAAACCAGTGTCCTGTTCAGAGGAAACAGCGTATGGTAGTCAAGCTGATGAGACGTACCACACTGCTTCACATACAACAAGTTTTAATTGTTTTAAGAGACAGCATAGTGCCATAGCTATTAGGTTGTTCTTAAACCTCTTGTATTTCTACAGAAGACCTCCCAGACAGCAAACATGCACAGGTATCATGCAGCACATATATCACTGTCAAAGATGCATCAGATTTGCTGCAATGTTGATTGATCTGACGTGTACAGTTGATCTGAAGCATTTAGGACATGTCTGCACACAGGCTTTAGAGCTGATTTGCAGGAGGTATAGGCTACTCAGAAACAGAAATCCAGACAAACAGTTCAAAAGCAAATCTAGATTACAAAGCAGCCCTGCAGACAACTGACTATGCATAGCTAGTTCCAAGTGGAAACAGACTGGTCCAGACAGACTTGTTAGCAGGAGCTCACTGCAGTGGTGCCAAGCACACAGAGACACTGACAACAATCCTGAACGCAGAAAAGGAAGGCACAGAGCAATCAGTGCGACTGAGGCACGATGAAAAGCAGGCAGGGATGGTATAGAATCAGACAACAATGCCAGAGAAATCATGAAGAAGAAAACAGCAGCAGTGGTATTCCTGGGGTGGGTGTGTGAGGTGCAGCAGCCCCAGTGGGATTGGATGACAGCTAAAGCAGGGGGCAGGGGCAGCCAAGCTGCCATGGAGAAAGAACGGGGGATACTGGGGCTACAGCAGCAGTGAGTGGTGAAAAGTGGAGACACAATAGGAAGGAAGAGCTGGTCATATACCAGTTATAAACTATTATTCTAGAATTTAATTTTTAATTATGGTTTTAATTTAACAATTAATCATGAAGGAAAAAACTCCAAACCAAAACACACTTCCTTCACTTCATTCGCATTGTCCCATTTACACAAAAGATGAGCACAGAGATACCAGATAGGTCTAAAGAAAGGTATATGGAGTGAAATGTCCTTTCTTCTTGGATTATGAGTTTACTTAAATATATCATGATAAATTAATCAGATATTAATGTACTCTGAAAGCTCTTTAGTCCCAAAGGATCTTACTTTTCTTAATTCTTAAACTGCTTTGAGTAATAAAAACCAGTAAACTTTACTTCACATTTTATAATCATAATTTCATTACATGTCATACCTATTTAAGTAAACATTACTTTTCATGGCAATCACTAAGGTCCTAGAAGTTCTTTATATTTAATATAGTATTTGTTCCCTTGCAGTGACATTCTTGAAACACAGGTATTATGAAAAGAAGACTACACATATCAAGCTACAGGACTTAGAATGCTTACTTGTCTACATTAGTGTTTGCTATTCTATCAGCTTACTGACAAATGCTATATTTTTTTTCTCATAGAAATAAGGTCACTCACCTTTTTACATTCATCTGTTCTTTTAATTTGCTGTACATTTCCAGCACTGCATAAAAACAAGCAGATTAACTTATGAACCTTACCATGGCTTTACTTAATAAAAGAGGAAAACATATATTGTAAAGGACAAAATTAGAAATAGAAAAGAATATGCTAAATTTAGCTTATTTAATTCCTACTGTAACATAAATGTGATAAAACTAGCAAAAAATATGCTAGAATGCATCTAACAAAGAAAAAAACCCTGAACTATTAACAGCTTTTAAAGTAAAAAGAATTAAGATTGAACAAAAGAGTCAACACTATATATATCAAGCATAGTCATTCACTTACTACATACCATAACCTTATCTGCATTACCAGCCCGTGACCTGTCTCCATAAAAAGGCAACAGTACCACCTACTGTACTCATAACATGTCAACATCAAGACTTTACAAAGGAAAATTCTCAAATCTGCTTTACACCAATATCACGAACAGGACAAAACCTTTATAGAGCTGTGTGCAATCCCACACTATCACCTTCTGAAACATTTAGAGCCCTTATTTTTATTTAAAAAAACCCCTGTAGTGACACAGAACTAAAAGCACAATGTTGAAGGTGCACCATTAGTATTTTCCCCAGTATTCAAACAGTAAAAGCCACCCTCTTAAGCAACAAATTCATTGTTCATCATATTAAAAATACTAGTTCATTTAACACTGTATGTGGCTACATTGTTTGCAGTATTTAAATGTCTCACTGTCTTCTCACAGCATCATAACTGCTCTATGTCAAATATTGTAAGAGACAGAACCTACACACAGACATCTTTTAAGAACTTATTAATTTTTTCATTAAACTGGATGTTACAGGACTACAACTTAAAAAAATAAAATTCTTATCCATTTGGCTATGGTGACTTCATTTAATTTGCCATCATATTTAGCTATCGGTCACTCACCTGGAAGACACAACTGTAGTTTTTCCACAACTGTTGTAATATTCCGCTGTTGAACTCTACATCGGATGATTTCCTCTGTTTGGGATATCACCTTAAAGGGAATTTTTTTTTTTTTAAATAGAAAGAAAATCACACTTAAACTATGCAAACAAATTTATTTTGCTACAAATATTCATAATGGCCATATAGGAAGCACCATTTTCTCACCTCTTTCCCAGCATCCTGAAGCCTTCGGTTGGTATCAGTAACTTGGACCTTAAAAATAATTTCACCTTTGTTAGACAAATATGCATATATTGCCCTGATGTGACTGCTCACCCTTGTAATCAGATCATGCTTCCTGAGAAACTTAGAACAAAGAAATGCAAATTCAAATTAACTCTACAGCTTGAACTTGAACTTTTGATCGCAAAGGGCTTTTGTTAACTTCAATTACTTATGACAGTTCTTTCTAACAGATTCTGTGGCAAACTTCTCAAATTTACTTGGGATTTTTGAACTTTCCTTGTTTCTGTAGGTCTGTCAAACAATTCAAATCATTGACCCAATTGACCACTGGTCCCTTTTTGATAACCTCAATGAGCTCTATGGGCCATTCATTGTCTGTAAGAAATGGTGATTGCATTTTATGGTAATTAAACATTCATACTTTGCTGAATGCAAACACTGGGTGGTTGATTAACATCAAACGTGGAAATCTCCAAACCACAGCAACATTTTAATGCTGCAGGTGCAGGCAAAGCTCAACCTCAGATTTTCCCACATAGTAAGTGACTCATTAGGTCATCATAATAAGGAAGCACATTCTAGTTTATTAAAAATCTCATTAATTTCTGAACAAAGATGCTCAATGACCTCATTGATGCTGTATTTGGTCTCTTGTTATCTGAATATCCTTTATATAATGCTCTTCTAATCATAACCTCTGATGAACTACGCTCATTCTGTCTGGTGTGCATATTTTGCTCTCAAAAGTGTAAAGAGAGCTAAAAGGGACATAATTCACTATTCTGCATTCTGATCTGAGAGTAAATCTTGGTTCTCATATCTAATGAAAACTACCAACATCACCAACTCTCTGCTCATTACAAAGTAAAGAACACTTTTTTTAATGCATAATTGCAGTATTTTTATTTTTCTAATAAAGATTTTAAATTTTTCTGAGGTCAGATACAGAAATGCACGAATAGAAAAAGACCTATTTAAGAAATACTGCAGTTATTGTTTATTATTCTTTACCTTCTGAGAAAGACTTTAAAGATGGAAAAATAATTTTGGTAGCATTTTGTGAAAACATACACTAAAAAAATCGGAATTAGATCTAAATAAGTATTCAGTTTTGTAAATGTGAATTACTGTATCAGGCAACACAGCTCGAATCACAAATCCTATTCAATCTGCTTTTAAAAAATTGCTGCAAACATCAGAGTGCAAGTGATAATCACTAATTTATTCTCCAGTAGAAGAGTCCAGTTCCTTCTTTGAAATTCAAAGATAATGATAAATGAAACTGTGAAAAACTAGTTCCTTACCTTTAATTTTTCTGCATCAGCCCTAACTTTAAGAAGTTCTGTAATAGCATCCACAAAGCCCTGATGGTGAAAATTGCACATCTTTTCTATCTCCCTGTCATGGTTACGTATGCAGGCATCAAGTTTTTCCATAAACTTCTGATGTGCATTTGGTTGGTCATCATATACAGACCTATTAAATACAAATAAGAAAATCAAAGTTTACTTTTCCCCCAGTTGAAAACAGTACGCAAGGATCTTTATTGAAATCTCTCTCTCTCAAAAAGAAAATAAAAGCAAGCAAACTTGATGTTAGAGTGGCATCATTTGGTGGATCCACTCCACGAAAATCAGCATTAAAAGAAAGAGATGGCACAAAACCGAGAACTGAACCCAGCTCTTATGGCATTAATCCAGGTGCTTAACCAGTTACATCATGGTTGACCTGAGCCTCACTGGTCTGTTATTTATGCCCTAATGCTCAAATATGGGTACAAAAGAATCAGTTTCTCTGACCACCTCAAATAGCATGGATCGCTTTTCCATCAAATTCCACTCTTTGCTAAATATAAAGAAGTGCAAACATACAAATTTGCTTTTCTGGTATTCCTAACACCAGAGTTATCCAACTAAATCAGGGTCGGATGCTTCCAGCCAGAATGACCGGAGCATGGTGCGGCAGGAGCCGGACTCCTGGCAGAAGGCAATCCCCAGGGCTCCCCGTCTCCGCCTGCCCACATCCAGCAGCTCCCAGAGCAAATCTGTAACACACACATGCCTAGGGCTGCTGCCTCAATGGGATCTTACAGTCAGAAAGGGTTAGAACCAGGTCTTTTGGCTTATTTTACTAATTGTTTGAATAGTACATTTAAAAACTTCAAGCACAAAACATAACTCCTGGATAAATTACTGGTGTAGCTCGTTGAGCAGCGTCAGAAATAGAAATCCGTGTGGAAGAACACTCAAGCATGGGAGTGAGCAAAGGAGGCAGAGAGGAAATTAAACCTTTAGACTTCGGACGAGGAAGCAAGAAAAGAGGTATTACATAGAATTGTGCTGGAATACAAAGGTATGAGGTCTCCTGACAAATGCATGGCACAGACAGTTCCAAAAATTGATGAATAATTTGATATAGCAATACCAGCAAAGACATATAATTTTTGAAGTAGCTTTTCAGAGAGAATGGGAGCAGCAATACAAGAATGATACAGTCATACATATACAAACATGTTTCTACCTACAAACGAAGACTGTTAAAATATAAAGGTGATCAAAAGTCTATAAATTGCTCTTTTTTTCTTCCATATTTTCCTTTTATAATTTCAAAGTTTTCTCCAGAAATTTATAAGAAGCTTTTTTAAAAAAAATAAAATTAAAAAATCTTAAGATGGGTGAAAAAAGGTTGGAGTTCAAATGGTCTCAGTGTCGTCTGTAGAAGTACAGTCTTTAGTTCAAGATTCAGGCAACAATGAAACAAAGCCTCTCAAACTCTTGAGCAGCAAGAAAGTACTTCCCTCCCAGTCTTCTTGGAGAAGTATGATTTCCTATACTCTTCGAGATCCTCTTTTCTAACCAGACATCTGGGCTCTGCCAAGATCTGGGGTCATCACCAACAAACACATTCAACAAACCTATAGCTGAAAAGAACTTGACCTTTCAATGAAGAAGAGGGTGTCGAAGAGATTGAAAAGACTTGTAACTAGATTCTTGCTACTTTTTGAGTTTCTTCTTACCTTGTACGAAATACTCAAGCTACTGAATTTAGAGACATGAGAAAGGCAATATGCTGTCATACATGTCAAAGGAAGAAAGCTGATTCCTTACAGTCTGCTTGTTATTGCTATTTTCCCTGGGAAAATCTATGCAATAAAATATTCCTAGAATATTTTATTCCTTTTGCTTATGATAGGAAAATAAGGCTATGGTACTGAAGGCAGTTTTTTTCCTCCAAAGGGCACCAGGAGAAAAATAGGATTGTTGACCCATGAAGTGGTTTACCCCTCACCATTTCCACCACCACAGTTTGAAATGACAGCTGGAAGAGGCAAATGTGTACCCATCAGTCCCTCCTCCTGAGGTTCCTGTCAGACTGCCTGAAAGGGACCCCTCTCAAGGCTGCCCAGGATGACTGAGGTGTAAAGGGCCATGGTGGATTGTCACGAGTGACCCATATCTGCCAGTGGGAAATATCTGCACCCAGAACCTGGTGCTGGCTGGAGGAGAAGCAGCATCCTGGCATGGGAGGAAAGAAAGGTGCAAAACAGTCGGCATTGAGTGAGCTCTCATCAAGCAACCCAATGTTCTGCATCTGAAGGCACAGGAAACCATATCACTGTTACCTGTAAAGAAATGGGGAAGGAATGAGAAAAAGGCTCAACAACTGATGTTGTAGTGCTCCAAACTACACAGTACACGCTGGTTACATGACTGCTGCTCTGTCTCCATAAGAAAAGGGTCAGAGATGTTGGAACCTACAGGGTGGACATAGGAGGACACCCACTTGTCTCCAGAGTTCCTGGAGAAGAAAAAAAGATTAGGAGGACCAGATAGTGCCTTCAGAGATATCAGGCGCGCATCTCTGAATGGACTGGACTTACCATCTATGCTGCACTGTATGCTAAAGCAAAAAAAATGTTCAATTCATTACTGCTTCCTTTAGCCTTTTTTTTTTTTAAGAGTGAAAGGAGTCTCCAAGTTCAGGTCTCCTTTCAGAGTTCTCAAAGGAAAGTGAGAAAGGAGCATAATTATCACAAAGATAGGAGACTTCCACCTATCGCCATGTGCTCAAACTGGGAGTTGTGCAATACACACATAAATGAAAACAGCAGTAAAACACAGTAAAGCAAATATGCCTAAAATGGAATAAAACAAAAAAAAGATGGTGCAAGAGAAACTCCACGCTTGATTTGGTATGACCAAACTTTCTTTGGTGGTTGTAGTGTACTGTCTTTTTGGACCTAGTTATTGCCTGATGATTTGGGGATATCCAGTAGCTGCCTTGTCAACTTTTTAATCCATTTCAGATCTGCCAATGCAGTCAGACGTGCTGTTGAAATACTGACAGAAGGAAATCATTTGAGATCAGAAGATTTCTCCTTAAAGTGTTATCAAACAACTCCAGACAGCATAGCCAGAAATTCTGGAAGCACATAAAACGCAGCAGAGGCAATACAGTACTCACTGTTGTAAAAATTAGTGTTTATTATGTTTTCCTCAATATATTAAAGCTACTTATTATTAAGTTTAATGATCAAAAAGTACTTATTTTTAATCTCAGGGGTATTATCACAATATTTAATTCAAAATCATACAGGGAATAACTGTTCAAAACTGGAGGGAAAAATCGACACTGCATACATCCCAACGCCTTAACCACAAGATTACCCTACCTTCTTAAAATAATAGTTACTATTTCATGTTCTACATTGTACTCTTTTCTGCAAAGATACTAATATAATTATGATCTGTGATCTAAACCACTATTTTGACAGAGCTCCCTAAGATGCACTAGTAGTACAAATTCCATATTCATTACATAAGTAGACAGCTCCATCTTGTGGGAACAACAACAAATTAATCCTCTTCAGCATATGAGTGAAAAAACTGAGACAAACTGCTCACTTTTACAGAAATAAATCATTAGTGTATTTAAAAGAAATTCACACTTTGTATCACAGCTTCCTGTGAAAAAGTGAGAGAAGAGATGGTGAGAAGAAGATGAATTAAACAAGTTTACTAACTTCCTTAAAATGCTGTACTCTTAGGACACTACACACCTGCAATTTAGGGGCTTCAAAACCAAGTCTGGCCTAAAGCACTGGCCTTTTTAGAAATATAAGTGTACTCTAGAGAGCCATGCCATCTCTAGCCATGGACAGAAACTGGGCTTTTTCTCAAATCTGCAAAACCTGATTTACCCATTATGGAACATCACACGTTGTATGGTATAGTTGATTTCTCATACTGAAGCTTACTTTCCATACATACATTTCAAAGATTACCTACGCTTACCTAAACAAAGTAATTTGAATAATTATCTGAAAGTGTATATTTCACCAGATAATGGGACTGCAAGCAATCCTGACAGCAATTCTGCACTTTTCAGAGTTAGACTATCACCATATTGCAGTATCTTGCAGAGAGACATGGAATCCTGAAAGTATCCTAGAGATTATTCTTCTAAATTATAAGATAAAATTAACAGAATTTACAACACACACAGAGAATTCTCTCGGAAAGAGAGTGAGGACGTAGTAACCCTTCCAGCTCCATTTCTTCAGGAGATGACTATTAATGCTAATCTGTCTACCCTAAAAATCTCTCACTGTAAATTGCTTCATATACATCAGTGGGAAATGTCATAAAAAGGGGCAAACGTGCCTAGGATACCAAAAGGATTTTTACATGTGTAATATATAGTTCTTTCAACTTCTGTTTATACACTTCTGAATGAAGAATCCCAAGGATCCTCCCTTCAGCTTTATGGACCCCTGAAGTGGTTGCTAACGGTCTGAAATACAGCACAAATCTAAACTGTGCTGAACTGAAAGACATGATCAGTTTGTATTACAATTACTTTCAACATCTGATCTACACAGCTATAGGAACCTATAGACCACTAGTTGTTGATTCATACCATGAATCCCTGACAAGAAGGTTTTTTCTCAGTATGAGTCTTCAAACTGGGGAAAAAAAAAAAAAAAATCACTGATGTCAGAGACAGAAGTTTGTATTTGATTTTGGCACCAAAAAAACCCAAAACAACACAACATATGACCTTAATTTTCAATGTGAAATGAGAGAACAGTAACTTGAGAGACTACTTAGACAACAGTACTGCAAGTCAGTGATACGACAGGTACTATTTTCTTTCCTAATCGACTGGGCAAGCAGGGAACCCATGAAGAGCACAAGCAGAGCTGAACAATTTTTGTGGTAACATGTTGCAGGTCATCTGTCTGTATGTCCCTGAACTCTGTATATAAACAGAGGAACTTTTTTCTCTGACTCATCCCAACAACTGGGCAATACAACTGATATTAATGCCAGGCTAGGTAAATAGAAAGTGCAGGAAGTACTTGTAAGAGAAAAAAAATTAACTAGGAATAGTCAGAGACTAACCTAAGGAGAAAGATGTCTCAGTCACTGGATCAATTTTATTTTTACCTTGATCATTTTTACCAGTAGGCTGAA